TGAATATGCATTTAAGTTGATTCATCAACTTCAGAATAGCAGTGTGATCACGGAACAGAATCCCATACAATTCGTGTATGTGACCCGTGGTCTACTCACTAATCTATCCGATACAATGCACGTCCTTCAGGTGATTTCCAACGGCCAGCGTAAGTTGATTGATCCGATTGTGATACACACTTGCGCTGTGGTCACTGATGAAAAGCGTATAATGTATGAGAAACAGTTTCTTGCTGATATCGCAACACAAAACTATACAAAGTACAAAATACCAGTAAACGAATGTTGCGAAAATGATGCGGAGCAACAGCAATTGATAGGAAAGTTTTTTGTACTTACCAAAGCGCAAATAGAGGATGTGATGCGGTTAAGTGTTGCATTATTTCAGCACATATTCAGGGAACGATACCATGCATGATACAGTTGGAATTGTTTACCAATTTTGCAACACCCAAAACGAAGATTCTGAGCTTGAACCGATGAGAGCTTCAACACCCGAGCTTCATGACAATGTCATTTGTAGAAGTTTGCATTTGCAAGGCGGGTGGTGATGAAGCCGAATGCTCTTCGCCCTCCGAATCCGATTCCATAGAAAAATCATCCTCTGAACTTTCGTAATCTTGAAAGAAAAGAAATATTTTGAAGAACTAGAGCATTTACTGAGCATTATATAAGAAATAAAAGACATACTCACCCATTTTACTGTTTTACTCCATGTGGCCATCGATTGAATGATTTTTTTTTTCATTCAGGAAATCGTAATGTGAGCCGCGGAATAGAAATGTCAACTTAAGTCTCCGCATAAAGCCGCTACTACATAACTTCCAGCGGCGCCATCTATTTCTCGTTTGTGGAGAAATAATTTTTTTTTTCACATGCTTGTAATGAAATCATTCATAAAAATAAATTTCATTAATTGCCACTTGTAGACAGAAGTAACCACACTTAAATAAATGCCACCAAATGCACGTAGTAGGTCGGTTAAATTATCGCACTTTGTCGTCAGCCATTAAGAAGGCTATCGTTGCAAATATTTTTTGTCTTCTTTTTGCCATGTCGGATTCAAATACGTATGCACTAATTTTGCCTCTAGATACTCTACTTTCTTTTGCGCAAAACAAATTGGCTGGTACATAAGAATTTTACCAAAAACTTATATTACACTTGCAATTTTTTGGGATATGAGCTACCCTGTTTTTGGCAATGGTAACATACAGTGGCACCTCAACTTTTTTTTTTTCGGCCCCCAGGCTTTTGGGTGTCGATCTTGGCTAAACAAAAGTCTCCAAAGTACAAAGAAAGTTTTGTTTTACATTGGCAGAATTTAAGCCATCAATTGGAAAAAAAAAAAAATAACAAATCAGCTGAACAAAAACCAATTTCTTGCGAATGCCCTCAGTTTGACACTTTCTCATGTTGCCTTTGAAATTTGTTAGAATTGTCATAATGTCAGGGCGACATTTATTTTTTTTGTCTTCCGGTACAACCCTGCATAGGAAAATATATAGCACCGGTGTGACCCATCAACCACAATACATGGGTAATTCTGCGTTTACACGTGCCAGTTTCCAATTTCGATATGCCCAAGAACGCCCTGCTTAGATCGTAAAATTTAAGATTTGCAAAAGGAAAACGAAACTTTCTCGCCGATCCGTTTTACTTTTATATATTCGATCGCTCGCTACCCAACCAGTATTCTGCAACTGCTGTCGCCAACCGATCTTATTTCCGTGACAACAGTTTCCGATGAAGCACACATAGTGCAATTCGATTCCTACCCTAATGAGGCATCAAATAGTGTATTTTACGCGACACGCGCCCGTAAAGAGGAGATTCTTAACTACATACACTCGCTTGTTGTGACGAAAGGCCAAACGAATCACTCTCTGGGCTTCGAATATGCATTTAAGTTGATTCATCAACTTCAGAATAGCAGTGTGATCACGGAACAGAATCCCATACAATTCGTGTATGTGACCCGTGGTCTACTCACTAATCTATCCGATACAATGCACGTCCTTCAGGTGATTTCCAACGGCCAGCGTAAGTTGATTGATCCGATTGTGATACACACTTGCGCTGTGGTCACTGATGAAAAGCGTATAATGTATGAGAAACAGTTTCTTGCTGATATCGCAACACAAAACTATACAAAGTACAAAATACCAGTAAACGAATGTTGCGAAAATGATGCGGAGCAACAGCAATTGATAGGAAAGTTTTTTGTACTTACCAAAGCGCAAATAGAGGATGTGATGCGGTTAAGTGTTGCATTATTTCAGCACATATTCAGGGAACGATACCTGAGCGAAAGTCTGGAGGTCCAACTGCCCGTGGTTGAGCCAAATAGCCAAGGTAAGAAAAATATGAATTTAATGAAAATTAAGAACAGTATAAATAAGTAAATTCATATTACAGACGCAATTATATCGGTCACGCATGCGGTACCCCCTTTTGGCATAGTGGGCGTGAATCTTTACTTAGCTGATTTGATTGAAGATGTAATCAGTTACGGAGAGCCAACGCAAAATACTAATAAAAACGAATTCAATTACGCCTTTCTCATCGATCGTAGTGGCATAACTATCGCACACCCAGCTTTTCCACGGCCTATGGCGCAGTATCAGACACCCTTTCCTGTGGACATTGGCTTCTTGGAAAACTCTACAGATTTCACTTATACAAGAAGACGCATGTTGCACGATGAAAGTGGAAATTTGACGACGAGCGTTTATTTGACAAGGGACCGGAAGATCGAGGTTAGACAGTAATTGACAATAAATACAAATTCATATGTACTTTACTTACTTCTACTCAAATTCTAAATCAACACATAATATTATCTCTTCCTGCAGTATTTTGAACGCATTTACCACTGGCAGTCCATACTGGGTATCTACATACTATGCCTCGTATCCACTTATAAGCTTGAAATATCCTCCACTAACTCATCAGCGCCAACGAGCACTGACAACGCAATAAGGTTAACTAATCTACAAGCATCATCAAGTCTTCCGCTCTCTCTGCAGCGTTTCTCTGTACCTAAGGACAAACTGCCACGGTTCCATCACAATGATTACGAGTATCTGTCGAGCATGGAGCTGCTCTATCATCGGCTGGACTTGGTGTCCCCACCTAACGGACATACTTGCCGCTACTTTCGTCAAGTGGGCACTATGGGTAGGGTTTCCGTCCAATGTGTTTTGAAATATACTTAGCATTATATCCTTCCAGATGCGCCTACACTCTTCTTAAGCGCGTCAGCTTTCATGTCTCCGTTTACTTTTTTGCACAATAACCGCGTTAATTCACCACGGGACCAAATACGTACTGTTGAAAGTATAATGGCCTACTTGAAAGACACCACCGGTCTCCTAGCCAACCCAGGCCTTCGCCCACAAATTCGACAGGAGGTGAATGCGCTCTATAATGCCATGCAGCATTTGAAAAAGCGTCATCAAGACGCGCGTGGCACACTGAAGAATCACATAATACGCCGTTATATCGCCACTGTGAATGGTGTGCTGCAAGTCTACCCCGGCTGTCTGCTTAGCTCTAATTATGACCCCACTAGGCGTCCGTGGTTCCGAAAGGCTTTACAGCAGCCCGGTAAAATTATTACAACAGAGCCCTATTTAGATGCTGGCGGCGCGGGCTATATCATCACAATCGCACACACAATTTTTGAGGGAAAATCGAATGCTTTACACTCTGTCGAACGCGATCAACCGGTGGCCATTGTTGCGTTGGACCTACCCTACGCTTACTACTATAAAATGATACTTGACTCGACCCCACTTTGCCAAATGAAGCACATCAAGTGTTTACTATTCGAAAACGAAGGCTATCTTATAGCGCATCCTAGCATGCTGGAATCTAGTTCTCCGCTTCGCAATCAACGCCGACCCCACGAGCACCTCACGCACAAGGAATCGTATTTAGCAAACGATATCCTCAATCACAAGACACTGGTGCGGAAATTGGCATGCGCCAACTACCAGAACCGCACGCTCCAACGTTACTATGTGTTCAACACATCGCTGGGCGACATCCTGACGAATGTTGTGCACGGCGAACGCACAAAATATGCAATAGCGTTGGTGTATGGAAGCAATATTTTCGCTGCTGTACTGAATTCGACTTGCGATGGCGGCGCCTTCTGTCCCTGCAGCACTATTGATCGCGTGTGTTTGAATTGTAATCGTATGGACCAGATGGACTGCGAGTGTCCGTGCGAGTGCCCCATGGAAATGGAAGCCTTCAATAGCGTGATTGGTGCCAGCCTCTCCGACACTTCAGAATCGACTGTGGAACGCTTTATCAACTACACCCAACAATTTGCGTATTGCGAGCCGCCAAGCGAGCATTTCATTGCGCTGCCGCCTGTAAGCGCAGAGCATCAAATGCTGCCTTCTTGCGTGAACATCAACTGCGATGTTTATGGAACGCAGAGCGAGTGTCTGGCAGTGATGGGTTGTGAGTGGTGCCAGCAAGATGTGGACGGCAATAGCTTTTCCGCTTCTTTTTGCGCTGCCCAAGCGTCTTGCTTTAATGGTTGGTGAGAATCGCTGATGTATTTCAGAGGTATTTATATTTTTATTCTTGCAGGTGTGCTGTCCTCGCTTACACCTTATGGAGATTTAGACGATGTGGACATAATTGCTGCCCATAGCTATAATCCCAGTCAAAAACCGAATGCCTACTCCGCTTTCGGACCTGTCGGTGGTGCTATTATTATCCTAGGCATCGTTATTGGCTTTGCTATTTATTGTTACCGCCACAATATGGACTCGCAATCGCAGGAGCAGTTCTACGTTGACTCCATGCAAGAAGAGAATTATGGACTTCCCCTATCTCGCTTCAACTTTGACGACTGCGAAGCACATGACGAACCACCCGGTGGCAATGGTGGTTACGAACACCCATCGGCACAGCGCAACCTAATACATCCCGCCGATATTTCACCTTACCACATGTCCACTGGCAGCAGTTACCGACGACCGCCCAATGGCGAATCGGACCATGGCTACTCCACAATGACGCCACATGAAGACTCATCAGATCATCAGTGCTTTGCCTTGGCGGAGCCGTTGTTGCTGCACGATAAACGCAACAGCAAATCAGACACTATGTCCATATCAACTTCCATATCGAGTCCAACAAATCGCCACCATCAACCGCAATATCAAAATCCATACCTTAACCATCCACCGCCAGCGCCCACGCAAGCAAAGGAGATGGCGGCGGCAGCGGTAACGCGCTATCAAATAAACTCGCCCAAGAAGTATCAGCAGGTGGCAACATCAGCACGATATGTGTTCGATGGAGGGCCTGTTTATGGGCAAACAACTTTGCCACTGAACGACTCGACGGAGGACAGTGTGGTTGCACCGCGTTACATATTAGCGCCGGTGACGGTTCATCGACACATGGAGCCGACCGAAACGTAGTTCCGTAGACTGTTTGTGCATTTTAGTAGAGTTAATCGCATCACATGTTTTAGTTTAAGTTTTAAAGAAAATTATAAGCACAAGGAATTGTTTGATTAACACAACTGAAAGGTTTTGTAGCACCAAATAAAAAATAAAAGTACATATACATATGTATTATGAATCAGATGTACATCTAGCGAAAAACAAGTACTTCCAAACGCCTTTGTGTTAAGCAAATATTTTTTGTGTGCATGTTCATTATTTTAATGCATCCGCTTGTTTGCCAATTAAATGCTAAGTTCTATATATCGCTACCTTAATATAGAAAGGCCCTATCTGACATCGTCGCTGATATACAAAAAGCCGTAACTAACTAAAAATCGAAAATTTACGTTTTAATTGATTATGATGCATTTGATCGCATTATGTGTCCCCAAATCGTTTTATGCAATAAAAGATTTTAGTTAGTTACGGCTTTGTGCATTTCAGCGACGATGTGAGATAGGGCCTTTCTATATTAAGGCAACGATATATACAAATATGAATAAGTGTAGTGTAACTACTAGGGATTTTATTTTTTAATAATGTTAAGTTTAAAGTAAAAAGTATTAAGAACCTGTAGGCGCGCTAATATAAATATTTTATATAAATGTTGCATTTAACTCTACACTGTTACACGTTACCTACGAAACACAACTCGAACCTTTACTACCTGCAAAAATTATCGAAACTATTATTTTTGTATTTTTTTACGTTATTTTAATTACGTGAAAGTGAAATTGTTTGGCAGCTGCGCATGTGCGCTTAGCAGGTGTGTCTCCATACAAATTGTAGCCAGTAATTGCGCGTTGCGACTGCCTGTTAGCATATCGAGCAGCAGTAACCAAAGTTTTCCATTTACTATTAGACGCAAAAATAATATAAATTTGGTTTGTCACTTATGTATGTACATATGTATATACATATTTTGCCTGCATTGTTTGTTGAAGTGAGACGTTAGTAAATCTTAGATAAGTATTACATGCAACCATCCATTAGATATACGAAATTCGCGAGCATTGTTGAGAGAGAAGAAATTGGCTTTCAACTTTTAAATTGCGATGAAATTAAGTGACTTAATTTGCTTTTGCAACTTTTTGTTGTAATTCGTTATTTCATATATATTTTTACGTCAAGTTAAAGAGCATTTCTATGCATGTACTATATGTATGTATGTCTTACAAAAATGTTACTAAACATCTTAAATAAATGTATGTACTTACCCCACAGAGAAAAGTAAAGTAAATAAAAACACATAAAAGGTGTAAATACAGACGTTGCTTATGTAAGTACATAATTATTTTAATAAAAACTGTTTACTCAAATTAAATAATATAAATTATGAACACCTAAATATTTACACTAATTGATGGGCGTAGAATGCGTCTAAGACACTGAGGATTTTTTAAGAATAAATAAATTTTCAGATATTGATAAGTGAAAATAAAAATTCTTGATTTTTATTTAGCTAAGGCTAGGCTGTTTTCCCGATCTACGAGCGACCTAAAATTGCCCTAAAAAAACGAAAATATTTTTAAACTGTTGCCATTCGGTCTGAGAACTCGTCCTCTTTCTTTAGCTTTATGCCAAATATTTCAAAACTATTTTTAAAAGTTCCTTAATTAACTCAAATTAGATACCGCTCGCACCATGGCTTGCACGAGCCCACGTGATTTTTTTTTTATATTATTAATAAACGTCACACAAATTAAGAAAGTCCTTGGCTGCCAACCGCACAAAAGACTTAAGTCACGAACTTGCCTGAGCTAATAAAGTCACGGGTAGATTTTTGCAAGCACAGCATTCGGTTCGTCTTTTATTTGCTACAACAACAATCGCTGTAACTACAACAACTCGCTAAATGTCAATAAGTTAGCACGATAACATATCAGATATCAATAAAGTGGCGCGTCAATGAGGACAGCCTACTTGCGCGAGCAGCGCTCTGCGATAAAGCAAACAAGACCGGCAAAGTGGAGTACGACCAACTTTAAAGTAGATGCGATGCTACGACGACGACCACTAAAAAACTTACATATGGATATACATATACATATGTATGTAGGTATGCATGTACATAAGCGCGCTCAGGAATGATGGTCCAGCTGCAGCTGTAATGGCGTGAGTCCAGCGGCTTACGCGAGCAAGTTAAGAGAACACGTTTCCACAGGCGCAGCGGTTGCGGCAGCGGAGGAAGAGACACGAAACACTCTCACCGCCACTTTCATTTCACGGCTCACTAGCTGCTAGACGCTGCTGTGGCTTGTGTCAATATAATCATTGTTTGCTGTTCGAAATGACCTTAGACGCATGCGCATATGCATGTCTTTACGTCGGTCTGGCAGCGTGCACGTATGTAAGTTACTAGCTCGCTAACTGCTACATCCGTGGCGAGATAATATTGCGGCGCTGCTGGAGACTGCAACCGTTGCCGTTGATGACATTGTTTAGCCGCTGCAGCCACGAAACTGAGTGCAATAACAAAACACACTCTGATTTGAACGCCACAGAAGTGCAGACGCGCGAATTTTCGATTATCCAAAGAATTAAGAAAGTTCGTTTTTTTTTTGTTAGAAACGGCTTTTTCGACCAAGGCTGCAGCAATGGAAAGTGAAAAAGTGCAGGTGCAAGTGCAAGTGCAAGTGTCAATAGGAACTAAAGAAAAAAGTATTTGTAATCTACGTAGAATTGTGAAAATCAGCCACCCCTTTGCTGCGCAGCAACAGTTCTTCTATTCGCCAGTATTCGTATTGGCGCTTAATATTTTAGTACTGCTGCCGGTGGGCGCTGCGCCTAGTCCCTCTTTGTCCAATTCAAATTTAAACTTTCCTGCCGTTTGGCCTCCCAGTCTTCAACACATCGATATTTGGAATGCAGCCGAGCTGCCGACCAATGCGGGTGCGCAAATGTCCACCGCGGAATCGGAAATGCTGCTACTCCACGCCGAAACGGCCTTCCAATATAGCGGCACACACCTTGACGCGCCTTTGTTAAACGTAACGGACAATGGCCCTAGCGATGTTGAGGCTGATGCGACATTTGAAGCAGCTGCCGAGGGCAACCGTACACAGCAAACGCTGCACAAACTAGGAGGCAAGCACCGGCAGGGTGAGTAGTGAATTATTATTTTTTTTTAATTGAATAAAAAGTGTATAATCTACTTGCAGGCGCTGCGTGGAATAAAATTGAAAAACATTTGGGAAACAACACAGTACTCGACGTGCCGAGCAGTCGGCAGAATCGCGGTGAGTAGTCTGTGCATATTAGTGCTTTTGTGCAATCACTTTCTCCAACAGTCGAAAGAAAAAGGAAAAGTCATAGATTAGTGTAGATTTGCATGAGCGCGCCGCAGTTACGGAGGCGGGATACTTCACACCAACGGCCAAAACATAAACGCGAACTTGTCACACAGTCAAACAAAAATCGAAAGCAGGTTTTTAAAAATAGATAGAGTTGATAAAACAACCCTTTTGTCTTCCCCGAGTTCAGTATGAACTCTCGCACCTCTTTCAAATCTATGCACAAAAAATAATTAAAAAATACTATTAGGAGACAGTTTTAAATGAACGACGCTCTGTGGTGATATTTCATTCATTTCTTTGCAAAAGCTGAAATTCTCAGCAGCTTTATGTAAAAATGGTAATTAAGTAATTGTGTCTAAAGTTACATAGGTCAGATCCGCATAGCTTGTTTGAAGTCCTTTCAATTTGACGTAGAGCTATATTTGTCTACTGTGAATTTCCTCTGTGTACACCGGTAGACATTTTTACAGAACTTGCCCCACAGCGTCAATTACATATGGCTAGAACAACGGAAATAATTAAGTCAAAAATTAACTCACGGCAAGCGGTGGTGTCGGAACTTTCCCAAAAACTCTTGGTTATAATTTCCATCATAATTTATAACCAGATTCCGGCCAACTTATTTGGTACCATTATTTACCAGCTTTTTCTTTATATGCTGTTGCCTGCCATCAGAGATAAGGGCCAACTTTACAGTGCCTTGACCTTAATTGATTTAACCTAATTCAATCAGTACAGATCGCAATAAATACAGATCTCAATGAATGTGGTCGATAACTACTCCCTGCAGTTCTATAGTAGAGTTGAAAGTTTGTTTTGGGCTCTTTTAAAGATGCCTCCCATCAGACGTTGCTCTTTTCTCTCTCAGATTTTCTATCAGCATCTAGTATCCTCTAAACTCCTTTTCAACTTTATCTTAAAGCTTAAATAGACGGCAGCGTTGATCCGGATTAACGCGGACTTAATCCGGATCAACTGAAGTTAATTTCCGAGTTGATCCGGATCAACGCTGCCGTCTGTTTACGCTTTTATACCTTTTGGTGCAGATCAAATAGGTGAGACTCATTTTAGTCCCTTTCTTGGAGAAGGTTCTCAATTTCGAAGTCAATGTCTTCGGCGTTTCTGGCCCGCCAGAATCACGCATGATTTGAGATCCGATGAGTTAACCCGCGCCAGACCTCTTTTTACGCTTGCATCATTGCGCAGATAGTCTCTTCCATAAATTTTTTGAAGTTATGAAATTTGAAGCTATACAACTGACTCGTCGTCTTTTGCTCCATTCATTCAACAGTTATCCATCTGTTTCCTGTGCCGGTCGATGGCGAATGTCTCTCGGATGATGGTCGACGCATCGGGAGTTGCTTCAATGCCTACGAGTGTCGCGCCAAAGGTGGCACCGCAAAGGGCGAGTGTGCCATGGGATTCGGTGTATGTTGCATATGTGAGTAATCACGAAGCGCTGACCTAAAAAGCTGTATGCATTTTTTAACTTTTCTTCCATCACAATCGAATGCAGTCATCGCCAGCTGCAACACCACTATCAGCAACAACATTACCTACTTGGTGTCACCACAATTCCCCAGTTTCATGCCGAGCAATTTCAGCACGCCATGCAACTTCAAAATCGAACTGATGAACAACGAAGTCAGTCAGCTGCGCATAGATTTCTACCATTTCTCCATGGGGCAACCGAATCGACGCACTGGCGTCTGCGATGGGGATGTGTTCGCGGTGAACGGTGGCCCGAGTGGCGAACTGACGTTGTGCGGACAAAACAGTGGACAGCACAGTGAGTAACGAAGAGGTGGGGAACTTGCTAAAAATCGTCCACAACAATTTTTTTCTTCTACAGTTTATTATGAAGTCGGTGGTGCTGCTGCCCCGCGTCAAACACTCTTCGGTAATTTGCGGCCACTCACTTTCAGCCAGCTCTATCCGAATAGCAGCAGTAACTCGATGCCGGCCATTGAGATCAGCATGAATTTCTCGCAGCGCTTTCAGCCCATACGCCTCTGGGAGATACGCCTCGCGCAGATCCCCTTCAGCCAACGCGCGCCTGTTGGCTGCTTGCAGTACCACACAGGCACAGAGGGCATCATACAGGTTTGCGCATTCGTGTCCGATTTCAATACTTATGTGTTTTAATATTTTTGTTTTTCTCCCTTGAAGACTTTCAATTTCGCAGAGAATGGAAGACACTTGGCCAACCAGAATTACCGTATCTGTATGCGTCAGGAGCAGGCGATGTGCTCCATTATGTATCAGCCGTGCGACGAACAATCGTTTCGAATTGGACCAACCAGCGCCGGTGATCCGGGAATGCTGAATATGGGCGCGCCTGCTTTGATGATGGATCCGATGTTGGCAGGAGTGATGAGCGGCATGATGGGTGGTGCGAACGGCGGTGGCGGTGGTGGAGGAGCTGCTGGCGCTGTCGACAATCCAGCGATGGACGCAATGCCCACAATGCAAGCGCCTGCGCTCGCTGACGACCCCAATATGTTGCAAACGATGGATGCTGCAACTACCATGGCTGCGATAATGCCGAGCGCAGCAACGCCGGATGCAACGATGGCTAGCGCTCCCACCCCAATGGATAGCAGTACATCAGCGGCGTCAGCAGCGGATAGTAGCGCGGCTACTGTGAGTGGAAGCAGTACTGCGGCGACGGATGTGTCGAGTAAGTTTTGTACAAAAAATTCGCCAATCTTATATGTATGTAAATTTTGTTTCTGTTATTTGCTTTCAGCGGCCGCTCCAGCCGCTTCCGACGCGCCCGCTGCGTCTTCGGAAGCACCAGCTACCAGCAGCAGCGCAACCACTTTGAACACGCGTAGAAGCACCACATCCACCACGGCCGCCACCCCCTCGTCGTCAACGCTCAGCGATGAAATCGCAGACGAAGGCTCCGGAGACAGCGATTGGACCGGCAGCGCGCCAACGCGTCGCCCAGGGCCAGTACGCGGTGGCTTCGATCTGCTCGGATTTCTACGAAGCGCTTTCGATTTTAACCCCTTACGACGCAGTGGTCGGCAAGTGCTGGTGAGTAGTCAACAAAATAACAGAGCTCCTTTGAAGGCGCGTCAGCTGTACTCGCGCTGCACAGATCGCCTCACCATGCCGTGCATAGTGGAGGACTTCATAGGCATGGGTCCGCTGGGTTCGCCGACGCTGCCTGGCTGTGAGCCTGTGCACTGCGGCTCGCAGTTTTGCTCGAGCGGCGCGTGGCCGTGCCGCATCGAATCCACCGTGACGCCATTCTATGTTGGCGTGCATTTCGGCAGTGGCGCGGGCAAGGGCAGCGCAGAAGACAACATTGGCGCATGTCTGCGATATCAACAGGTGGAGTGCATGTGAGGCAAAAGAAAGCGGAGAGCGGCAATGGAGTAGTGCAACATATTGCGCAGCGTATTTGTTTGTATGTAGGAGTGTGTATTGTAATTAAAGTGCAATTTTTTAATTTATGTTAAATTAAAAGTAAAATTCAGACAAGCGATTTTTACCTTTTTTTAAGTATTGCCAACTGGCACAAAAAGTTGGAAATTTATACTGCGCCACCAAAGTCGGTTTACAGACTTATTTATAAAAATTATTTTTTTTGGTTTTTTCTGCTTTTTAAACAAAGCATTTGCGATTATTTATTAATTTTTCGTCAATTACGCTACTGGAATATCAATAGTGATGTATGTATGTATTTCATATCTCCACTTTTGTAGATATTTATCTATTTCTATAGCATGTACGAATGCATGTGTTACCAACAACAATTAAGCTTCATTTAACTAATCTAGAACGAAAAGAAAACTATTTTTTACTTTTTAAGCAGCTGTAAAATTTTTTTAATACAAATTTACCTATAAAAAGGTTACAATACTTCCGAGCATATCAATTTGCCTACAAGCATTTTTTAATAAATTTGCATTTATTTTTTTTTTCATTAACTAATTTTTTCGAACTAGTTGGTCCTTTCGCTTGTACGCAGTTAGTTTAGTGATAATTTTCGCAGTTTCAAATTTTCTTAATGATATGTTTACATTGTATAGAAGCCAAAAAAGCATTTTCTTGAATATATTTCGTTTGTATAAACTTTTTTTTTGTAATATTTTCTTTTTTAAAATTCGCATTAGTTTTAAAACCCAACAATAGCCGAAACAAGTCAACAATTTTTTATAATTAATGCAATATTTTTTTACCTAAAGTAATTGAGCTTAGTTGCGATTTGTGGATTTAAAAACAATAATATCCGTTGACCATCTATCTATAGACACTTGCACCTTTTTATTTCAGTTTTGGTTTTTTTAATCATTAAACTGTTGCTTTATGAAAAACTTAAAGGTTTAAAAACTCATTTTGCAAATGTTGGAGTACAAAAGTACAAATCTGCAATATGGCATTGGAGATTTAAAAAGGGTTAAATAAATTTACGCAGGTTTTTTCGAAGTCTACTGATTTAGGTAAGAGACCTGTAAAATATCAATAAAAATGTCTGGCAGTTTTATGTTATTACTGATAGTTTTCCGTTATAGTTAGTGTAGCATTTTATAATTTTTAGATAAAGCGCATAAACTTTACATTTTATTATGTGTACATCACACATACATATATTTGTATGTATGTATGCACATATTTAAGTAGGATATGTAGTGAATAAATTTCTTTAGTCTTGCAAGTAATTTGCTTTATTACATAGAATTTCACTGAATAATTATAAATGTTATTATGTGTGTATGTATGTATGTATGAAGCTTTTATTATCTTGATATTTTCCGTTAAATCTGCAGCTTAGAGAACAATACAATTTTTAATTTATTTTACGGCAAAAATATGTTGAGCTATGATTTACAATTAATTCGCAACTCTTCATTATTATATGCAATTATTTTCTAAAAATACTTTTCTGATGCATGTACATATGTATGTTTTCTAAAACAGAATTATTCTTAGATACATATTTATAGCTTTTTAATCGGCGGATATTTATGATTTGTACGTATAGTTATAGCTTAAATTTGTTATTTTATTATATTTAGTTTAGTTTTTTTCTCTATTTTTTTATTTTAGCAGTAGTTGATATTACGCGCGCACACGCATGTATCAGCCATGAATATTTTTTTACGGGCAGTACATTTCGTTAAGCATAGAATTAAGCTAAAAATTCGAAAAAAGCTTTAATGAAGACATACGAATTTTTTCAAACAAACAATTTTGACTTTTAGCTAAAATATAAATTTAATAAAAAATAATACATATTATATATTAATCTTATTTTTTCCATATTCGAACGTTGACAAACGGTACTTTTTTAAAAGAGCACAGTTAAGCGTTTAATAATTTTAATATTTTTTTTTTTATAATCAAAGTATTTTTTAAACATATACATATTCGGAACAGATAAAAACTTAATCGAATAAAAAGAAAAACGGCAAAAAAAATTAAATAAACAATTATAAATTTTTTTCGCTAAAATAAAAAATCACATTTTTCTAATATGGATTAAAAAGTCAACGATCACAATAATTATACATTATACATATCCGATTTGATAAGATCACAGGATTTGTACATTTGTACAGATTTGACAGATTTTGGCAGTCACACAGTGGTTGTGGTTAGATATAATGAGTTCAGCTCAATAACGACTTTCCAAACAACACCACTCTGTAACTGTGAAAATGTACAAATCTATACAAATGTACAAATCGTGTGATTCCTGCTTAAGAATAAAAAAATTTAAAAACAATTTTTTGCATACCGCTTAACTTTCACATTTTTACCTGCTCATAAAACAGTCAAAGTTTTTCGGAAACTAAAAACTTACACAAAAAATTCGAGCGCATAACGATAGCTGGAGCCTACACTCGCTAAGTTTAAAATAATTTAGAGCTAACCAAACGCACACTTTTGAAGCGATTACATACATATCTTAATTAATAAACGTATTTTTGAGTTGATTATTTTTAAGCACACAGTCGTGGCTCTCAACACCAGTGGCGGCAGAGAAGAAAAATTCTCCCTTCTGAGCCACCTTATGGGAAGAGTTAGAAGTCCTGTTGCTGTCCGCGCTGCAAGACATTGTTGATACGCAGACGTAGCGGCGAGAAATCGATCTTCTTGAAACGCGGCAGCGAGGCGAATTTTTTTACGCCGCCGCCTAACCCGCTACCGTCCGCAACGGCACTGCAACTATCAGCCACTTTGACAACATCGGCAGTAGCAATGCTTGCCACGCCGCTTACGCCAGCCATACAACTCTGATGCATTTCCAATTTGGAGCTTGTCACGCTGGTTGGAGCTGGAGGAGTCAACGACGGACCGCCGTCGCTACTGGTCATCACATCATTTTCATTTTGCCGTAATTGCAGGTTGTGATGCAGCAGATTTTCGTAGATGCGCTCCTTCTCGCTACTCAGCTGCTGTTGTTTTGCCGTAGGTGATGACGTTGACTGCTCTCCCACTGGACTCTGCTGATCTTCAGCTGATTTTGCGTCATCGAATTTAAAGTCAATCTTTTGTAGCAAAGCGATCTGAAGCAGCTCGGTGTGTAGACGATCGCGCATATCTTCGGCGAAGTTAGCTACATTCGTTTCGTTATTATTGTTCAGGTTCTTATCGACGTTGTGACCTTTGTGCTTAGCATGTTTGACAGTGTAGACATGCTCGGCAATTTTCATAGCACCCGCCCGCAGCGATTTTTGAACTCTGCCATTTTTCTGCGAGTTTTTGTTATCGATTTCCGGTGGATAATTTCCACTTTGGCGTTGCTCAATTATGCTTTGTGGAGATGAGATGTATAGGTTATCTTTACGTTCGCGACGTATTTTCAATGTGACCAGTTGACGTAAGCCGACAGAGGTTGAGGCAGTGCTGCTCCTCTGCAAACACGTGTAAATTAAGAAGGATTTAGAGTACGGAATTATAGAGCGGAAACATGGCATTCGTTCAGGCAAGAAAAATTTCTAAACATTATTAAAGAAACGGTTTAGACACAACAACAAAAGGAGGGAAGAAGGGACGCCTTTGCTCACAAACTTCTTTTGGATTTTGTTTCGAAACAGCGTTCAGTTATTATCTGCTGCATAGTTTTAGGCACGCCATTGGTTCGCAAAGGCCATTAGACAAATATTCAGATCTAGGCCCCCAAAGAACAGATATCTTGTATTCGTTTCGAAGCTCTTCATGATGGACAATAATTACAGACACCTTTTTAACAACAAATATTTCTACTAAAATTCAAAGATACGCCTACATTAGAAACGAGTATAAATTAGAAACGAAATAGAACAAAAACAACAAACAAGTTTCCATTATACGACATACATACATGCATACCTATCCACATACTAAAAACCAAAAACAAAACACAAATAAATATTTTAACGAAAATAATTTGTATTTTTCTTCTTTTTACAAGGTGTGCCTACCTCGATTGTGCTCGCCGCTGCTGTGCTGGTCGCACCAACGGTGGGCGAAGTATTATATACCGCCATCTGTGGACTCGCTGTGGCCAATGTGTGATGGCGTCGAGTCTTAGCGGTATCACAACTATTTGGGTAATAGGAGGGAATCTTCTCGTCGACACTAATTATCGACTTCCGCGGCGTTTGGTAGTAGTTTTCTTCTTCCTCCAATTGCTTCTCGTTGTCCGCAGTTGGTTGGGTATGCGGCGATTCGGTGGGTGTACTTGTACTAAGTGCCGTAGGTGGTAGCTGCTGCTCCAGCTCTTGCGAAGCTTTTACGGCCAACAAATTTTCGTACAAATTACCCGTAAAATCTGCAATGTTGGAGGTGGATGTCGAGGCAGTAGATGTAGCAAGTGTATTGGTGTCATTGGCTGTTTTTATTGTACTTTTATTGCCTGTGGTCTCCTGTTCGCTATTTGATGTATGTAAGTCCAACATTTGTTCATATATGGCACTCTCCTCTGCAGCCACTGGAGGAGGCTTGGGAGCTGCTGAAGCCTTGGGGTCTTCTGCGGAGGAAGAACTTGTAGATGGATTAGAACTGGTTGAGTAACCAGACGAGGTGGGCTCAGCAGGAACTCTTTCTGTCCCTGTCGGTAGGACTTGCTTTGGTCGAATAGGTGCCATCACACAGTAGCCTGTTAGATCGTCTATCAAAATTTTATTCTTTCTTTGATTGCTTGTGGGTATTGCGGCACCATTAGAACCGATTAAGTTTATACCAGATGAATTAATGGCTGAAAAATTAAAATTATTTGGAATTTTTTCAGACACATTAAGATTATCAGTTGATATTCTGCCATGGAAAATTGAAGATTGTAAGTTTTCCTTGGACGGCATTATACAAGCGTTGTGTAAGCTATCGGTACTCAAATCTACACCATCGCTACATGCAATCGAGTTGTTCAAAGAGCCAACGGCAATGTCTTTCTCGTCAAATGTGTCCACGTAATTTATTTTTGACAGATCTGGCGAAGAAAAGCTATTACGCTTTGCTGCAGCTAAAGTCGAATATTTCGTGTTTTTCTGTCGTTTTACCGCTGAATCATTGGCATAAATGGGCGTGGTGATCTCATTATCTTTGACAGGCTTGGTGGGCGTAATACTATTAATTATATCCTCCGCAGTGCAAGCCTGTGTTTCGCTAACACTCTCGGCGCGCTTGGCACGACCACTGCCGAAAATGTTATCCAACACATTTTTGTACTTCTTTTTCTTAGCCAATTCTGATTCAGGATTTGTATTTGAGCGTGGTATTTCACCCAATACGCCTTGCCCATCGAAAGTGTTGATACGTTTTCGTGGCGGTGGTAGGGGTGGAAGTGGAGGTGGCGCAGTTGTTGTTCCACTTGCTGGCTGTGATTCAGTAGATTCTTCATCGATGACATTGAAGGCATTAGCGCTGGGCTTCATCTCTTCGTAAATACCAGAAGCAATGGAAGCACGCGAAACGCGTCTTGAGAGACGAGGTTGTCCATCAATATTTTCAAAAATCTCTTCATAAATCTCCGAGCTGTGTGACACGCGACGCGACCAATTACTTTGATTAGAATCTAGACAGTTTGGAATATTAGGGAGGGGCCCAAGGGTGGAATAAGGTGCTTCAGACAAACTGAAATTTAATTTATTAAATATTTGTGTTTACTTTTTTTTTGGCATACCTAAAGAATACCGACCCTTGAGCTAGAGAAAAAAGAAAACGTCGACGTTTCTTTCTGCTGAGTTTAATGGCAAACTTTTTTTTGGTACAAATTGACAGGGGCGGCGCTAGGGGAGGCTAAACGTGGAATTTCCAACATTTTCAAAAGCTTATATTTTGGAAACTATTGTACCGAGTTTCAAACTATGGGCACAGTTGGAAAGGTAATTCAATATATATATATATGAATGTATATAATGCAAACATATTTTGAGAAAAAGTAAATAAACGAAATTATGTCAATTTTTTTATAAAAATGTATGTTTTTCGTAAAAAATACGTAATTAACTATATTAACAAATATGTTTATCGGAAAGACCATAAAAATACCTTTAATTTGGCTTATAATTTTATATAGTTAGATTTAAGTACAACTGCCAGCAGTGCAATAAAACAATTGTATTAATGTTATATGTTTTATGCCCCTTTTCTTTGGCAACACAGAAAGGAGAATTCTACGTTGTGAGGGTTATAATCCCTAAGCGCGGCCGAAGGCCGCCTACGCAGAAAGGTGTTCTCTGCAAAAGGTGTTCAGCCTCTTTTATTTGGCAACACAGAAAGAAGAATTCTACGTAGTGAGGGTTATAATCAATAAGCGCGGCCGAAGGCCGCCTACGCAAAAAGGTGTTCTCTGCAAAAGGTGTTGTGCCTCTTTTCTTTGGCAACACAGAAAGGAGAATTCTACGTTGTGAGGGTTATAATACCTAAGCGCGGCCGAAGGTCGCCTACGCAAAAAGGTGTTCTCTGCAAAAGGTGTTCTGCCTCTTTTCTTTGGCAACACAGAAAGGAGAATTCTACGTAGTGAGGGTTATAATCCCATAGCGAAAAAATACTGTGGATAGCGTAGCTTGATTAATTATCCATTAAATTCTACAACTCAATCTTATAACAAATAAGGTGATTAAAAAAAAATTGTTTGTAAATATTTCCTTAGTATTTTTTTAGTTTTAATTCAATTTTTGTAAAAACTAAAAAGAGTAAGATTTTCTATCGCGCGATTTTTTATTCCAAATTTTCACCTGCTTCGCTTTTCCTTTTTCATGTAAAACTATATTTTTATATATATTTAGTCAAATATGATGTCCACAAGAATTTTTTGCTACAAGTCATATATCAAATTAACGGTACTTTTGTGCTATTTCTGATAAACATATCTGTTAATATAGTTAATTACGTATTTTTTGAAGAAAAACATACATTTTTAGAAAAAAAATTGCCATAATTTCGTTTTTTACCTTTTCTCGCAATGTGTATACATTATATACATAGATATATATATCTAATGAAAGGCCTTTCAATCACCTTTCCAACTGTGTCCATATTTAGAAAATCGGTTCAACAGCATTCGAAATATAAACTTTTGAAAATATTGAAAATTCCACGTTTAGTCCCCCCTATCCCCACCCCTGTTTGCTCCAAAAAAAATATATGCCATTAAAATCCGGAAAAGGGGGCGGGCCACGCCCACTTTTTTTCTCTAGCTTAAAGGCCAGTATTCTTTAGGTGTTCCCTTTTTTAAACAACTTACTTTCCATTCTCCTGTTTTGATTGGCTATTTATCTGTTTGTTTTCCTTCTCAAATTGCATTATATGTACACCAGCCGCGCCCATACTTGGACCGCGACTTATTCTATTTTGTTCCAACATCAACTGCCGATGCAACTCCAAATTTTTAATAGTCTTTTTAATCCACTTCATATGCCTTCTGCAACTTGTATCCGTTTCGAGGGCGAAATATATGTAACACTGCTTCCGATTCTGTGTCCAGAAAAGGCCATAGCTGAACTCTTTTGTGCGCGAAGCAGCTAAACTTATGCTAACGCCGGGAACTATAATGGAGACACTTATGTATCGTTTGGGATCAGCACGTTCCTCCTCCGCTACGCTCGCTTCAGCATCATTACATCCTGAGATGGTAGCACGCAAATAGCTGGGCAAACACTTTATTCCTTCAATTTTTACTTCACATCTGGACCATTGCTTGAATTTCAGAGACTCTGGGCGTTTATTGTGTATATCCAGTTTAACATCCATGAACATTGTTATCTCGTTATTTTCCATTTTTACTACTTTAATTAAATAAATTTCACTTTGTATTAACCAAAAACATTGCTAAACAAATAAAAAATTTCGGAAAAATGGTAAAAGAAAACTATCTGTAATCCTGTATGTACAACAACAAATTAAGGCGAAATCAATTTACTGGGGAGGATACCGTTCCTTTTCAGTGTTAGGACTCCCAACTCAAGAAAAGTAATGCACATGAAAGTTTACTCTTAACAAAATATTAGTGAAAATAGTTTACCGTGCCAATTATCTAATGTTTTTAAATAATAATATTATTACATGTATTAAAGGGGAATTTTATTCGAAAATACTATAAGCGGATATCTCTCATAGGTGAACAAAAAGTAGCAAAATTCGGTATCCGCTTATGGCAGCTTTCACTGTAGGAGTGTTCGCTATGCAAAAAATTTGTACAAGTTGATACCAATTGTTACCAAATCGTGTTCGTTTAGCCAAAAACCCAGAAAACTTGCAAGGAGAGAGCCATGGCACAAAAAATAGGTAGAAGCAGCAGGGTTGCAATTTTGAATTTGAATTGTCAAACTTTGTTTACTTTCTATCAAAACAAACTAAGTTGTCACTGATTTGTGAAATTGTGTTTTCATGCGAATTGTGCCTTGATATTTTTGTGAATTGATATTAATTCAATTAGCGAAAAACTCAGAAATAGGAAAGTGCGTTTTGTGTAAAAATGTAATGGTGTGATCGGACTTCTACCACATTGTGGTAGATCTGCCACTGTTTTGAGCATCTACCACTCAAGGTCTGAAATCTACCACATATTCGCGTTTTTCATGATTTTTATTTTTGCTCGACATAATTTTCTTAATTTTAAGAGCAAAAATTGTCCAACACTAAACACTATATGGTAAGAAGAATGATATATTAAGATTCCGCATTCCCGGCGACGATGAAATTTCTCAAGTAAAAGCCGAATGGGAGGATAAAATTAGAAGTCCGATCACTGAGTGCAAGGCGTATATGAATTCGCCTTGGACAGCTGTTTGTCATATTTGGCGGTAAAGTTGAAATTTCTTTCATCCGCCGTGTCTTTTGTAGGACCAAAAATGAGTGAATCGGAAATGGAAGTGGTTTTGGCTCAGGATGACGAAGAGGACGATGAAAAGCCGTAAGAAATTCAGTAAATAATGTGTGGTTACTATTTTATTTAACTAACTCTCCAGTTATGTTCGTACTCTGGAAGATGTACAAAGTATCATTAAACACGCCAAGCTGGATGCCAAGAATCTTACACAGGTTACACAAGCACTTTATTACCCTTCCGCCAGTATGGATAATGATAATTTGAAACTTCTTGAGCTGGACTCGCATATGCACCAGCAAATCCGACTTGGCCAAACTTTATACTTCAAAGGGGGCCACAATGAAAAAATTGTGCTTTGCACTGAAGAGAAAACATATGACGTGAAAGGCGCCGAGATATCAAACAGTCTTCTGTTGGTGCCGGATTTGAAGTTTGCTGCTGCCACCAGCACGTCTCCATTGAAGAGTCCTCGCACTGGTACGTCTTCGCTAGAAACAAGTTTAAATGATGATGACGACGACATTTCGGTCGACAAAGTGCTAGAACAGCGAAAAGTATTGAAAATTTTCCATGAATATTTCGAGTGCCGCGAAATACGCCCACGTTATCGTAAAATATACGAACTGCTACAGTTGACGCGTTTCTCAGGGCCTGAAAATGAAGAATACATTGATCGCAAACTACTTTTTACATACAATCAATTGTTGGACACAGTGCAATGCAGTCGGAAGCAATTCGATGAAGGGTTATTACATTTCCGCGTAATGGAATACGATGGGCGCATGCGTGTGCTCGAGTGTGAATACGAGATGCGCATTTTGAATTGTATGCTTGCTCTGTTGAATGAAAATTCATGGCCTTTAGATGAAGTCGAATTCGAAGAAACTGTGGCAGCTTTGGAAGGCATTGCTCCTTCTGATATCGTAAAGGGACTTTTTCGCATATACACTGTACCGACTGAGGGAAAAGAAGGGAAATTCACATACAAAGAGGAATTGGTTGCACGTATCATAGCACAAAATATTTTGCAACCAGAGCTAAAATTCCGTAAAGATGAGTTCATGAACACTTGGCAAGAAGCTATGCCAGAGGGAATGCACTGTGACGTAAGCTTTTATATGCGGTTTTCAATTATTGCAATCAATTTTCTTTTTTATACTGTTCATCTAGGAAATATATTTGCGGGCGCTGGGCATTATCGATAAAGAAGGGCATACAACCTGTATACGATCGTTAGTTGAAGAACTTCTTCCAACGAATATACACGAACGCATGCGCATATTATTCAAGACTAAGACGCGCTGGACAATGGATGAAATGGAACCATACATTGAGTAAGTTCCCACTACTATTTTACACCAATATACAAAATACAAACACATAAAATTTATGCTTGTAGATGTTTTAGTACACCTTCCCTTTCGGTGTCCACATTGCTGGCGAAGCATGCGCGCTCTCTTACGGAGAACGGTGTGCGATATTTTGTATCAAAACACTGAATTAGTCTAATTTTTTCAACTTATGGTTATATTTAAAGCATGTATTAAATAATTTGTTTTTTTATGCAAAAAGTTTCCGTTTCTTGATCCGATCTTTTTTCGCTTGCTTCAAATCATCAATGGCGGCCTTCATTACATTTACAGCGCTGCCTTTGTCAGAGGCTGTGCCAGAGGCACCAATATCTGGCATTTGGAGCTGGCCACTGCTAGTTGGATATCTAAAAAATACAGAAAAGTATATAATTTTTCCGAACCAACTTATGTGATCGAAATAGTGACTTACTTAAAACTAAAGCCCTTTGGGAACATAGGTTTGCACAGCAATGCCCTAAGTTGTGCGCGTACATTTTCCAAATGTAGACGGTCGCGTCTCTTTTCAACCACAAATGCATCTTCATCATCCTGATCGCTACCACTAAAAAAAGGAGTATAATCAGATTTGGTTTTATATTTCTTGCAGGGCTCCCTTACGATTCGTCATTAAACCCGTCAATAATCATATCCATTTCCTCTGCTTGTTTTTTCATCCAACCGATCTCACTTTGTGTGCGACGCAATTTCAGCTCTTGCTTATCAACTTCGCGAGCTAAATTAACACGTTCCTTCACAGCGCGTAGATATTTCTCCGAGACCGGAAACAGTGGTAAATCTTCGGCTTTAGGAAATGGGAACACAAATATTAAGCAAAGGCTATTTGAAAGCGCGCATTAACCTACTTCTATCCAATGTTTTGTAAAGTTTCACGTAGTTCTTTACTTCACCTGGCTCCATGAACATCACAGTTATTCCATTTTTATTGGCACGTGCTGTACGACCTGAGCGGTGTACGTAATTTTCGCTAGTCCGCGGAACCTAAACAAGACTTAGTAATTCAAAAATGCTTTAATAAATCCTTTTGTCTGCACTTACTTGATAGTGTATCACATGCTCGACATTGGGTATGTCAAGACCACGGGCAGCTACATCTGTGGCTATTAGGAGACCGTTTGGGTTGTCACGGAATCTTTCGAGGTTCTTCAGACGCTGCTTTTGTACCATACTCGCGTGCAGCGGCAAAGGGGCACACTCCAATAGACCAAACAGCGTAGCCAAGCGTTTCACACAATCGATTGAGTTGCAAAAAACGATTGTACGTCCAGGATGACGTTGCACGAAGTAGTATAGATAATAGTCCTTCTGGTCAATTGGACAGATTAGTCGGCATTCGGTGAGGGTCTGTGCGGTTTCTGCATTTTTTTTAAATATGTTAAATATGTTATAAAAGTCTAGCATGTGATTTGAATGTCTATTAATAAGGAAACATTGCTATTGCAATTGAGTCACACTTACGTTGACTTCTGGTGATGTCCACAATTTTGGGCTGTGAAATTCCCAGTTCTTCAATAAGGCTCTGTATTTTCAAGCCTGGTGTCTGTTTAATAAATTTTTTTCGCTTTCCAACATTTCGTCCTACAATCAAGTTATCGATTAGTATTCTTTACATTTATAAAAAATCTTACGCTGCATGTGGTCCGGTAAATCATGAACCAGCGTCAAAGTCGCCGAAAATACAAAATTTTGACGAGTTTGCTTTTTCTCTTCATTTGCGTTCAGCACCTTTAGAAGACTGCGAAGTTCTTCAAAATGTCCCTTCTCTACCATACGATCAGTTTCATCGATGACCAAAAAGCTTATGTCCTCCATTTTACTCAAATGTGGATTTTCCTGTTCATAAAGCTCCCACAAGCGCCCAGGTGTCGCGACTACTATTTCTGGGCACTGTTTCAGTAGACGCTCTTGTTTTGCCACCGCTAATCCACCGAAAATCGCTGCCACTTTTATACCTGCGAAAACAAAAATTTACGAATCGTGAAACAAATAATTGATTTTAGCAAAATTGAGTACCAGTGTATTTGGCTGCTGCCACCAAGTGGTCTCTGACTTGCACTGCCAACTCACGAGTTGGTGTCAGTACAACCGCATAAAGTGGACCATTTTCTTCCATATCTTCATCCGATTCGCTTGCTTCGTCTTCTGTAGGCAGAGTGGGATAAAAGTGTAGCTCTTCTGGAGGTGGCGTAAGCTCACGATCTTCCTCAACTTGCTTGGCATTTATTTCTGATTTCTGCCCTTTCACTTTTGGTGCTTTGCGTATGCCACTACGTACGTTTTTCGACTTTAGTTCCATAATACCCGCTAAAATTGGTATACCAAAAGCTAATGTTTTTCCGCTGCCCGTCTCTGCCGCACCAAGAATATCCTTCTTGCCTAAAATAGCAGCGGGAAGTGTCATTGCCTGAATTTCTGTCGGGGATTTGAAGCCTTTCTCAGATATTGCCCGCAGAACGGGCTGTGGTACACCTAATCCATTCCAACCCTGTGGTGCATGTTCCTATATCAGTACCAATAAATCAATACTTAATCACCTACATACCTCTAAGTCATCAATGCTTAACGCTGATTCGTTAACTATTTGCGGCGCTTCGGTTTCATCATCTTCGAGATTTTCATCCGCTCCACTGTTTTCAAATGCCGGTGGTCTTAGCAGTGCAAATCGGTCTGGTGGATACTCTTCATTAGCCAAACTGTCTTTTTGACTAGGTTGATCATCTTTGCTTACTTTGGTAGCACTCCTCTTTTGTTTGCGTTTTTCTCGCTTTTCTTTCCTTTTCTGTAGTAACTTTAATTTGCGTTCTGCTAAGCGTTTCTTTCTGTTTTCAGGCTTAACACTTGCTTCTATTTCTGAGTCTGAGTTCTCCTTTTCTGAACCTTTATCATCTGCCGTCTTCTCCAACTTGCGTTTTTTGCTCTCTACTTTGCGGTCCATTCGCTTCTCCTTCCTAGTACGCCTTTCCTAAAATTTAATGTTTTCACTTATTTTTACACAATGCGACTTAATAAAGTGATATACCTTAGCTGTTTCAACCATTTTGGGATCATAATCTTCCAGAACTTCTAAACCGATAAGGCCTTCGAAGCCGCCACCATCATCAGAGATAACGTTGCCCTTGATTTTTACTTGCTCCCATGATTTATTCTCCAGTGTGTCGCCGACAGTTTTTATTTTGTTGGGCTTTTCTTGGATTTTTGATTTCCTTGTTTTCGCTGCAGGCATCTTGTTTTAATTAAATTTTTTACAAATTGTGGGTTGTCATATGTGTTGATGCGGTAGTGAAAACAAATAACTTTTTGACGTTTGTGTCCGCACGTGCATTTGTTTTAGCGATATCGCAAAAACATCGATGCATCGAAAATATCGATGTTTTCCAACGATGAACCGAGATTTTTTGAAAACTCACATTTATAGTACATTAAGCCGTAATTTCGGGAAATGTTTAGTTACGTTCCCAAGTTCCGTTTGAAGCATAATTAGGTGATAGCAGGAGTTGAAAAACAAAAATTTACATGTATTTTGTTCTTGCTTTGGCGGCATAAACTGTCAAAATCTGTAATTTTTCAATTTGATATCGGAAGCCGTGCGGCGAAACACATACACAAAATCAGCTGAGCTAGTAACACCACCTTATATTAATTCGCCTTGATTAGATCTGTTGCAGTAATTAATTTCAAATGTTGTACACTTTTGCTAATACCATAATTTCTTGTGAAATATTATCTTAAAATCCTATGCGAATCGATGTGAAGGACGAAAAGTATCGATATAAGTTTCGATGCATCGAATCAAAGAAATACATCGATGTATATTTGCCACTGACATTCCTAATTTGTTTGGATTTGTAATTAGTTTGACAGCCACTGTAGGCGTCGATTGCTTGGAAGGGTAGCCATATCTCCACAATGATCAAATTTGTGATAAATTGATATAATTTTTCTTTGAATTAGGTATTTTCTGTCAAAATTTTCTACCATTATACCCTATATAGGGAGATCTCCCTTCGAATTCTAGTATGCAAATATACATGCATACATAGGCATATATTAATAAAAAACAACGGTTCGATACAATTAATTTTATTTCCGCATAGGTCTCACAAAATTTCGTTCCATTTCATATCCATTGTTGCATAAAATTTTTTTATATTCTTCTCAGATCGGATTCACAATTATTAATGTCGCTAATTAATTATCACTATTGAATTTTATAATTTTATCTCAAATTATGCCACACCCAATTTCGCCTTCAACGATGCGGGCATTTCCGGTGGTGGTGGTCGGGGCATGTGCAGATAAACCTTAACGGCATCATATATGAACCACTGAGCGGCAGTTAGAGTACCGATCATCACAATCCTAGGTCCAAGACCACCCCAAAGGCCTACATATGTAAAAAAAGGAAATAAAGCAAAAAAGAAATGTTAGTTTTTTTTGTTTGTTTGTTGAAAACCCAAAATTAGTGTTTTTGCTGAAATATTGCTACATACCGGCCCATCCCAGTTGTTTGGCTACATCGAAGGCTGAAGCGCCCTTGGCCTGGTTCAGTTTCGATACAACGGTATCGGCTGGATGCGACACAATGGCACAGAATACACCAGCAATGTAACCTGCGGCGAAAGTGACTACCAATTGCTCACCTTTCGTGCAGTCCTGACGTGGTTTGGGTACAACATACCTACAAAGAGACTCCCGTTAGCTCTAATGGCTCTTCTATTTCACTATTTTTTCTTCTTACTTGTACAACAACTCCAATGTCCTTTCGAAACAAGCGAACTTCATCATTGTATATGGGATTTGTCTCATCCACAATGGTACCAGACCCTTATAGAAGGCAGCGATGCCCTCTTGTGCCGACATCTTAGGCAAAGCCTCACGCAGCGTATTTGCGAATCCAGGTGTGGTTTGGATTTTCACCTTAGCCGCCTCCATGGGAGCTAAGGCAATATCGGCAAAGAACTCAGCCGAAGCGGAAGCAGCCAAATACAACCAAGTACGGTACAGATATGAGTTCTCCTCGCCGATCGCGTCAGAGTAGATCACCTTAAATACTTCATAGAGACCAAATTTACAGAGACCTTGCATCGAATAACCGAAGAACGTTGGCGCCCAACCCTTGGAAAGGCCTTTCACGCCATCTTCTTTCAGTGTAACGGCAAAACCGTTAAACACACTCTTGTACTTCGCGGGGTCGACTTGCAGGCGACATTTCACTAAATCCAATGGCACCACCATGGTGTGAGTGAGACCGCAAGAGATAATGCCTCCAAGACCACATAGAGCGAAGTAGGTGTTTGAACCAAATTCGCAGGAGTCTTTCAAAAATAAAAACAGTTATGTAAATATCAGATTTATATTCAATTTAAAATGTGCTTACCGCCCTCAACAGTGGCAGCGGCCATTATTTGGCGGTTTGGCGTGAGCTGTGGTCCATCACTGCGAGTGTTAGTCTGGCAACTCGCTGCCGAGAATGGAGTTTTAAAGGGAGAGTTTTGGGCGGCTTCCAGCAGCGAAGTGAAGAGCATTTCGGCGAATGTAGTTCACTGATTTGGCTAAACAAAAAATTATTTTATACTTAAAATTGGTATGCAAAAAATGTAGGATGTATTTAAATAAAATAGCACAGTAGACATAATTAAAAGTAAAAAAAAAATTAATAATAATTTTAATTTTGTATTAATTAAAAATTCCCGGTCAATTTAGGTTTTTTTTATTTACTTTTTGAGGTTAACCTAGCCTTTTGCCAAAAATGATGTAACCAGCGATTACATTTAAAGGCCAACTGTCGCTTTCATGTCTATCTCTTTTTGAGTAGAAGGTCATTAACACATTTATGTCCGACAAGTTTTATGCCAACGGAAACTTTACTTTAAAAACCGTGGCTTTTAAGATTTGTTTCGTCAATCACCACGCATAAATAAATATATTTTACTTTTCACAATTAAGGCAACGTATTTTCACATTCACGGCCAGATATGTATGTACGTACATACATAAATACACATTTGCACAAAACTTCTGCAGTTTAATTTCTGACTGGCAAAGAAATTTTAAAATTTTTTTACTCCTTAGCAGATTTTCTCTCTTGGCTAAAATAAGAGATAACATTTTGCATTATTTTTTCACGCTTTTACATAACACGCCTATATTTTGCATTTTTCAAAATTCTAATTGCTGGCCATTGCGTAATTATATTTTAATCTGTTATTCAGTAGGTTACTCTAAATTTTTTTAAATGTTGAATTTCTACATGCACTTATAATTACTAAAGTATATTTTTTGCAACTCACTTCGATTTAGAATAGCGAAAACTAAACTCACGAATATAGGAAGATTAAACAGGAAAAAAATAAATTTAATAATTGGAATATTAACGTGCACAAACGTTCACTGCACGCCAAACCACGAACCGAAATGCAGTGTAAAGAATTTTTATTTTATCTTGCAAGCATCCTCTATCTGACAACCAAAAACTCTCTGAATTTAAGAAATTTAGCTTGTATTGGCGAAACGTGACGAGAGCCCAATTATTATGTGTATGAGGAATGTATAGTATTTTGAGAAAATTGAAGATCGTTTAGGGGTTTTCTAACATTGGCTCGCATACACATTCGAAAATGCATTTGGCAAAAAACATGCTCTTTTGCGCACACATACATATGTACCTTTGAATGTACCTACATACACACGGAAACGTGTGCGAATTGCTATACGCATAACCACTGGTGGCAGATTAAGAGACATTATTTTCACATTAATTTATGCTCATTTTCTTCTGGCCTGAACTGAAAGTACCAATAAGGTCAAGGCCAGATACATGACCGCACTCATACCCCAATTAAACATCTTAATGAACTACATTTCCAGTAAAAGTAGTGCTTAGCTAATTACGAACGTTAGCTATACCTATTAAAATGAAGCTTCTCTCCGTTTTTGCTAATTTGTTACATTTTATGACCTAATTTGTAGTGTATTTCTAGATTCAAACTCCGATTTAAGTCGTACGCATAGTGTCAAGGAATATTATATTACTTTATTATCAGTTATTATTTTTTAATAATACAAGAGCTCAATTACCAGTTTCTATTTGCCAAGAGTCATGGAGCTCATTGGCAGTATACATGTGCAATTCATATAGTACATTAAGTTAACATTTATAGTAATAAATATTATTCTTAAAACCCCGCAACTACCACAATATCTAGTTGATAATGTACTCTGGTAAAAGAGGATTGTAAAAGCCTTTTGCCTGTGTTTTCTGTACATCGGCTAGTTAGTTTTGTTGTAGTTATTTGTTGCTGCGATTGCTTGATATTGGTATAGTCGACTTCTTGCCTAACGGGATGTTCTCCGCGGGTCAATCTTCCATTTGTTCGTTTAACTGTGCTAGTAAAGCGGCGCGTTTTGTTTCAAGTTCGGTTTCGCTTAGGGCTTGCTCTTCAGCATTCCTTGAGTTTCTGCCGGAATTTTCAATGTCCGACTGATTGCTACCGTTTGCGCTGATTGGTGTTAAGGAGCGGTGATGTTTTTTATCCTTTTTGCTTTTTTTGTCACGCTTCTTCTTCCGGGTAGCAGCATTGTCATCTATTTGAGATGCTGAAGGTGAGGCGATCGGCGAAGAAATGGGACGTTCGGATTCGCAGGATGACTGTGAAAAAAGATACATGCTAAGAGCGGAAATTATGCAAAGAAAATTTAGGCAAGCTACTTACAGCACGCGACGATTTTTTGTTCTTTCGACGCTTCTTTTTCTTAGACACGCGTTCGCTTTCCATGCTGGCACTAGAACTAACCGAACGCTGGAAAAATGTTTAAACAGTTTAAATTTGCTACTTTGTGCTTTTAATTATTCTAATTGACGCTTACCGAGCGTGAATGAGATTTTCTTTTCTTCGACTTCGGGTTCTCAGATTCCTCCTGATCATTCTCAATGTCCTGTGGAGCAATATATTTTATGGAATAGTTTCTAAAACATTTTTTTTTTCGTCTTACCGATTTTGAACTGGAACGTACTCGTTTCTTGTGCTTTTTATTTTTCTTTGATTTGCGTGAACGCGAATGGTGGTGACTACAGGCGTCTTCATTCTCTTTGATGTAGTCCTCCCAGATCTTTTTTACGCCAAGTTCCTTTTCGTATGTAGTGAATGCTTCTAAGTGTTCCACCAACTTTTTAGCAGCTTCGTAGGGTTCTTGAACTGAAATATTTGCCACTTGCCATTCGGCCTTAATTTCGTTTTCGAGCTTCCGCAAGCGACGCGATTCTTCTTTTATTCGCTCCTTTTCGACGGCCTCTGCCTGTTTGTGAAAATAAAATATTTTAATAATTGCGTTGGTTTATTTTGGGAGATTCAGATACCTTTTCGAGCAAAGCATTATAGGTCAATTTCACATTGCCCGCGTCCAAATTTGCCGAGCGTTTGTCCTCGCAGACAATTGTAGCAAATTCCTCAAACGTAGTATTTGCCTGCACCACATACTGCTTTTCTTTAAGGATTTCACGTATGATTTTCTTCTCGTCATGATAGCGCGCCTTTAAGTCTTCGACATAGAACTTAAATAAATCTAGTGGGGTTGATCCAGGCTGGCCGAGCATCGCTGAAAAACGCAAATCTGCTGAGATGATTGGATACAGTTCGACCCACAAGGACATGGAGGTTAGCTTTCCAGCTTCGTGCTGCGCATCTAGCAGAGAAAGAAATGCGTCGCGATTTTTGCGCTGTTGCCGCTTTAGACGTTTCTTCTCGCGTTCGCGCTCTTCGTCCTCTTCTTTTTCCAATGAACGAATATGCTCTTCGAAAACAATCAGCGCGTCCTCCTTGTCCATGCCGAGTAAGTTGACATCGTTCTTGAAAGCAGCGTTTTGCAGCAGCATGAGTTGTGCCTGCGCCCATGTGGATTCGTACGTAATCGTGGTCATCGATTCCAGTAGTTCACCAAGCACCTTCATATTGCGCTTTTTCATCAAGCGGGTTTCCTCTCTTTCCCTCTTTGCTAAGTTGAAAATGCAGTCATCATAAATATCGCGGCGATCCTGTTCTGGTACATTTGTCCAAATTTTATTCGTCGCGAATAACTCTTCACATTTATAGTATTTCATTTGTGAATTCATTTTATCGGTGGACATGAGAAAACGTTCAAGATCTTCCTTCGCTTTTTTGGCGCGCAATCGTGACTCTTCGCGCTCGTCTTTGAGTTTTTGGGTCTTATATGCGTTAAAAGTCTGCTTCTTTTCATTTAAGTTTTTAAAGGAACTATAACGTGGATCCTTGGAGATTATTTTCACGCACTGATCCCAGTTAGCGTTTGAGGGTACATTTTTCTCCCGCAGCAAATCCTTGAAAGCTTCAATAGCCTCCTTTTTATCCTTATACATGATTTTGGTCTCCTCAGCTGGCGATTCTTTTTTAGCTGCCGTGTGATAACATTAATTGAAACTTTTCCATATTTGCGTAGACATAGCTTACTTACCATTTTCCTTCTCTTCCTTGCCAGCTTGTGGCATTTCGATGGAGGCTAATGTAGCGGCCATGGCCTGATCAAGGGCGGACGAAGAGTTTTCGTTACTGCCCGGGGTCAAAGGTGATCGAATATCAGGTGTAGCTATATTTACCACAGTGGGAAGAGTCGCGGGGAGTATACTGGCCAGAGCTGCTGGTGGCACCAACCCTGCTAAGCTGGATGAAGTCATGGCAGCTACTGCCTTCGCCGCTGCGGCAGCTCTATTTTGCAATAAAATGGTTTATGTATTATAATTACTAACATTTTACAGTAAATGGGTACTTACTCTTCAGCTTTAACTTTTGATTGCATGTCCAAAAACTCAGGTGGAGGTTCCCAACGCGATTCCTTACTATTTACGTTGTGGTAGTACACTTTTCCAGCGTCCGAACGATACTCTTTCCAAGGGCATTGGTGAGTCAATCGCTCTGCCGGAGTCATCAGGGCTTCAGGTTTTTCCCAGGAGCTTTGCTTAGTATTATTATTGTAGTAATACGGTCGTCCATCCGGAGCTTTGTGTTCGGTCCATTCGGTGTTAGGCGGTATGCCACCAAACGCCGCGGCCAACTCTGGTGGCGGTGGCCCTCCAAACCCTGGCGGCGGCATGTTAAACATTGGTGGCATACCCATAGGGGGCGGAATTGCACCTGCCGCTGCTACCGGAGGTACATTCATTGCCTTTTGTTACAATTAACACAGACAGATAGAAAAAATGCTGCGAATCAAAACTCTTAAACCTGTCAACGTATGCCAAAAAAACTCTTCTGAGCTCCGTAGTTTCCTAACCTCAAACGCCGCACTTGTGCCGAGTCCAGATAATATCGGCTGCACGTTTTTAGTATGCTATATAAAAGGACAAGTTATTTTTTTTGTATTATGGATCAACTATTTTGTAACTTGCTTTTAATCTTGGGTTTGTTTACATTATTAAATAAATTGAACCATGCAAAACCCGATAAAAATTACAATCCCCGGCTGCAGAAAACGCTCACTTGACGTTTGAAAGCGTCGACCACGGTTGCATTTACTGCAGTGGACTGCATAGTGACGTCGATGTGTAGATTTAGCAAAAGGTTTCAAAACAGTGAAAAATCGAGAACCAAAAATTTTCATTGAATCATGATCGAAGTATCGATTTGCTTATTTACTTTGTTGAAGAAAAGTAGTGACATTATTAAATGCGTTTGATATTGTTAAAAAAGAAAATGAAATACATTTAATGTATACAAAATACACGTGAACATTGCAAAGATTGCATATTTATCAAAATATAAGTGTTAGGTGCTCCTTTTATATGAAAATTTGCTAGTGAAACTGCAAAGAATTTAACAACAAATAAGTTAAATACTATTACTAATAAAGTGAAAAGAGTGATAAATAATGTAAATATATACGATTCTTAACATTCCCGCCAAGTTTCATCACAAAATTTGTTATAGTTTTGTGAAAACACCCAAAAACCGATGTAATGAAAAGCCAAAACGTACCAAATATTGAGCTCTAATCAATCTATTTATGCATAATAATACTATTTTTTACAGTTTAAAAATGGGCGCGTATCTAAGATGCAACTGTTTACCCCAACTGTAGTGGAAATGCTGTCAACTGTTGGGTCCAACAGTTACGTCTTGAGAAACAGACAGCTGATACTAAATAAAAGAGCACAAAAATAAAAAATTTTACGAAGCCAAAAATATGAACATATGAACACTGAAGCATCCCAACTTAAGCTATTATTCCATACGAACACAGGTACATATGTACATACATATGCTTATAAGTCCACGAATTTCCGATTTATTTTAAACATACACTTGTATTTTATTTTATTTATAGCCAGTTTCATTTTTTTTTTTATTTTTTCTGCATTTTGAGAAGAATTAAGGGCCAAAGCGTCCAAATAAATCATAAATAATTTCAGTCGGTGTGGCAAGACTTTCTAGAGTTCTACTTTCACAAATAAACACAACACTGCAATTTTCAAGGTTGTCAAAAGTTTATTAAAATAAGGTTCGTTCGCGTAGCTGTTAATTGTTCATGTTTAACCAAAACTTACAAGTTTTTGCGTTCGCGTACGCAAAAAACTTGCAAAGTAGGGGAAATTGAGAGAGCAAAGTGACATTTCATTTTGAGGGGAAGCTGCTGGTTTCTGTTGGAAAAATTTTTGCCAACAGCAATTTGCCAACAGGAAAACAGCTGATCAAAAACAGCTGGTTGGCATTTACGCAAATCACAAAATTGAATTTGATGGTTTGGAAGTTAAAAATTACAAAATGCGACTAATTAAACTTGTAAGAAGTAAGTAGTTATTTGTTTAATCAATAAACTGTGCCAGGATACCACTTTGTAATGAGTTTTCGTACGTTTTAAATTTTACACTTTTGAATGTAAACAAAAATTATATCAGCTGTTCGTCTAACTTGCAAGTTTCTGCAAATTTTCTGTTCGCGTACTATTTTGGATATTTCTCTCTTGTGAGCGAACAGATGACATTTCGCCGGAATTTGGCAGTTGGTTGGTTTCTGTTGGAGATTTTAAACGAACGCACCTATAAATAGTGCTCCGATTATGAGGGTGTCGCCGTGATATTTACCAAATACGGAAATGGTTTGCCTAAAGAGTGTTGTATTCAAATCGGATCAATAGCGGTCTACCATCTAAATTTCGTTTTGAGAAACTATGCTCCAGGGATTGTGCATTTCATATCATCGAATCTCAACCAAATTTCTAAGGCAACAGATGAAACTAATCATGTCCAAACCCAGATTAAAATGGATGATGCTGATGCTTCTCTCGCTCATTGCATTCAGTTGGTGCCTATTCTATAGTTCCAATATGAACCGGGTAGACGTTCGATATTGCTATATGAATACATTTACTACCGTTCCTTCAATTTATTCACCAACACAAAACAAACCTGCCGATGGACCACATCTTTTAGAAGATGTGATGCTAGTCGAACCAAAGCCCAACGCAAGTGGACGCAGTATCATATTTCACGAAACCAGTTGCCCACACGAGAAACTGCGAAGTAGTGTAAAATATATGGGCAACGCACCACTTAATATGATGGAGTTAACAACGCGAGAAGCTTGTGCCATCGAGTCGGCCGCATTACACAATCCGAGCTTTAGCGTTTTTGTATTATTCGCTAGTCCCGCTTATCGAGATTACAATAACACCCCACCAGTGATAGAAGCAATTCTCAGCTACCCAAACGTACATCTACGTAATTTAAATTTATGGACTTATGCAGCGGGTACTCCAATGTACCAGTGGCTTAAAGATGGAAAGCTCTTTAGTTCCAGGTTATATGAATTCAATAATAATATTATGCTATTATAATGTTCTTAACTATTCCCCGTTTTTAGTTATGTGCTTTCACATCTTTCCGACTTTCTGCGCTACCTTACATTGTGGCGTTGGGGAGGCACTTATCTCGATATGGATGTTGTGGTTCTGCGTAGTCTCGAAAAATTACCACCAAATTATACAGGCGCAGAGTCGAGTACATTTCTTGCGGCAGGAGTGATGAACTTTTCTCCCGATGGCTTTGGCCACGAAATCGCTGAGAAATGCTTACTCGACTTTTTGTTAAATTTCGACGGTGGAGATTGGGGAAACAACGGGCCGGGCGTTATAACACGCGTTATGAATGATGTGTGCAAGACTAGTAACATTGAGTTAATGATGGAACCAAAACGATGTATGGGCTTCCATGTAATGCCAAGGGAAGTATTCTACGCAATACCTTGGAAGAAATGGGAATATTTCTTCGAAGCGCAGTACCTGACCGAAACACTAGATTTGCTTCAACATTCATATGTAGCTCATGTGTGGAACAAACATTCTAAGCAAAGGCGTATTAAAGTGGGCGCCAATGCCGCTTATGGCATATTAGCTGAAAGGCATTGCCCAAAAGTATATGCAGCAGCAGGGGAGTATTTTTAAAATAAAAGAACGTAAATGGCAATAGGAATCCGGATAAACGTCATAGGTATTTTATTGTCGTATTTAAATTGGGGCAACTAATCAGGAGTTAAGTGTAACTAAAATAGTTGTTTAACTCAGAAGGAGGCAGCTTAGAATGTACAACGCGTTCAAATGTTAAGTTTTATTGCTTATGTTATGTTATTTTATGTTTTCTGACGAATGTTCTGTACATATATAACTATGAAGAGATTTAACAGGTTTCAACCCCGACCAACAGGAAGTATTCTCTTTGAAAACTCATTACTGTATTTTTTTTTGTGGTATTAAAATTAAGCTAGTTTATTTACACACCAGTTCTGCACAAACAAAATTTAGCAAATCCACTAAAGTATATATTTTTTATTCTTTAAACGAATCTCAATAAATTATTAACTTTTAAGTTACTCTTAAAAACCAAAGTATACGTACATATGTATATACAAAATTGGATGAACTTTTGATATTGTTTTTACCTGTTATTAAGCAATCTCTGAACCTCTAGGATATATATATAATCCATATTATTGAAGTCATAGTGATCATTAAGTAGCATTTTCGCTTTATTTTTTTACCGATAATGCTCTGTAAAGTAGAAGTTTGTTTAGAATAAAACAAAAATGGTCATACAAAAATGTAGTTGAAAAGGCAAAAATCCTTCCTATTTCTGCTACGTGTGCGATTCGAAAATTATTTTTATACACATAAATAGTGTAAATGGGTAATAACTATGTGGAATATAATAGATTGCACCTGTAAGCCAATAATCAAAGTTTTACGAACAAAATTGTTATTTAGAATAAAACATGCACTAGCACTGAAAAAACCAAAATTGTTTCATGCAAGAGAGTAAGCAACTTAGGGGTTCCATATAAACGTTTTTTTTTCTTGTGTCTTAATAATTTCATTCTTATTTTTATAAAATCTACTCATAATTTTTAACCGTAATAAATAAATTTACGCGTATGTTAACGGTCTCCTCTTCTGATGAATGAATTCTTGTTCGACACGTGAATTTTTCGGTACAATATAGAATAAAAGCGAGCCACCGGTAACAAAGAAACTACAAAGTTTGAAAAAAAACAAAATTAGTAAATTCAAATAAATGGTTTAACGAAGGCTTAACATACCCCTTTTCATTTAAAATATCTCTAATGGTATTACTTAAGTCAACTTTATGCACGCAGCCCACTTTCCGATTTTCATAGTAGACATTTATGTTGCCAGGGCGGTAGCTATTAGATTTATCACATGACAATGGCTCTAATAATAAGGCGTTTATGCAATCCTCCATGCTGAAAAAATATATGTATTTCGTTATTCGAGTATTTGTGTGCGTTCAATCAAGTGTTTATGTGTACATTAACTTACGTTACATTCTCTTGCAGCTCTTGTTGAAAATCGCTAAATAAAAATTCTGGGTAAGAAAAGGCTGCTGGCCATACCAGAGTGTCTTTATCATCATCCAAATGCACTGGATGGTCTTCCAAAGGAAGAAACTTTGGACGTAGCAACTCCTCTGTAATAGACATATTTTTCTTTTGGTCATCAAATTTTATGCCGCGCTTCGTCAAAGCATCAATTAGTTGTTGAGTGCGTACCATGCGCTTTTTCGATTCTGCAGATTCTTTGCGTTGATCACGTTCAATTTCCAGCTGCAAATTAATAAAATTAACTTTACAGTGTATGCTTAGAAGGTGTCATGGACGCTAGGCAACCTTTTTTGTTTTATTTTTCTTTAACAGTTCTTTAGCTTCTACGTTGCTACCGTCGCGTTCTAGTATTTCATCGCATAATTCTGAACATAACTCGAATTTGTTCAAATAAAAAGCACATTGAGCAGCACGCCAGCGTGCTTTTGCATACTCCGGATTATATTCCAGAGCGCGTTGAGCGTCACCAAGCGCTGATCTATTTTGTTAAAATATTGAGATTCTTATATGAATTTATATACGGATCTTTTCCTACCGATAGTTCTTGAGAAAGAAGTGTGCAGCTGAACGATTATTATACAACACAGATTTCACCTCTGGCTTATCACATTTGGCTTTTAAAGCCTCTGTAAAGCTATATATTGCTGTGCGGAACTTTTTATGTTTCATGTAAAAGTTGCCGTCCTCTTTGTAATTGAGAGCAAGCTCTTCAGCTGTATTCTCCTCTGGATCATATTTTAACTTCTGCAGACCTTCAAACATTGGATGCACTTCGTCGCCGGGCTGTGGTGCTTTCTTCATGAAGAACGGATGCTTTTCCATTTCCTAAGAGAAAATTTTTAAATAGTTTTCTTTATAAACAAATTAATTCAAATACTTCCTGCCAGCGATCCTCTGGCCAACCTTCTTCGTAGCGTTTCCTTTCCAAACCATCAATGAATGCATCCAGATCTTCATCTAGTTTAGCGGCCAACGCCAAACGCTCCTCGTCTGTCCATTTCTTATTCATTGCCATTTGCTCGTCGGTCATAATTTACAGATTTTAATTGAAAACAATTCGCGTGTGCACCGAAAAAAGATGTAAACAAATCGTGCAAGAAGTCAACATGTGTTTTCCGGTGCTGTGTTTAGTGAGCGCCACAGCTGGGTCGCAGAGCTGCATTGATACAAACAGGAAAAAATGGAAGCGTACAAAAGGCACCATTCGTCGCATTTAAATTTTACGGTACATTTGCGCGTATTTACATACATTCATACGTACGTATGAGAGAAGAATATTTTATACAGATGCATATGTGTGCAAATATATATATTTTAGTAAGTAACACAAATTTCTAGAGAAGTGCCATTAACCAATTCAAAATCAGCGGAAGAAAATCTTTCTAATGTGGTTACTCCATTTTTAGGGGTGGCAGTATCGAAGAGATGTCGATCTCAGTAATTAAAAAAAAACTTTCTATATCTAAGTTTTTTTTTTGTTATAAAGAAATGTGCGTAAGGGCTCGATATGTTCGTGCATAAAAATTCTTTAATATAGAAAGGCCCTAACTCATATAGTCGCTCAAATACAAAAAAAAACCGTAACTGACTTAAATTTTTTATTGCTTAAAATGATGTGGGGCCTTAGAATGCAATCAAAAGGGAATTCTAAATTTTTACTTAATTATGGTTTTTTGTATTTCAGCGACCATATGAGTTAGGGTCTTTCTATATTAAGGTAGCGATATGTATGTGAACTGGCATGCGCGTAAGACTGTTTTCTCTGTTTGTACCGTAAATAATTCCGCAAGCGCACGAATTTGCAAATACTTCGCCAAAAAATAAAAGGGCCAAATAAACAATGCGTTAAAAAATAAAATCTGGGCCTTTTTGCTACTTTTTTTTTTAATGAATAAACAATGCCATAGCAAAAACCAAGAGCATGAATGGGTTATACCACGCTCGTTTCTTTTTATTAGAGATGAAGTTAGCAAACTAGCTATGCAGTTTAAAGTGTTGTGCAAACTAACGTAGGTGCATAAATATGCTAACGAGCGCGTTGACATTAGTGCATACATAAATACATACATATGTGTGTATGTAATTAAAAAAATACAATATTTGAAATTGAAAGTTGTTTCATTGTTCGCGGAAGTTGTGTGTAGACATACAAATACATAATTCGCACTTTGTTAATAAATACGTCATGACTGAAAATTCTTCCTTTTTTCTTCATACCAAATACATACATATGTACTTATTTCCTTGTTTGTATGCTTGTCTGTTAGCTCACACGTGTAAGCTGTACTGGCATATTTTGCACAATTGACTGGAGATTTAAGCCTATTTCCATCAAATATTTAATAATTATAAACAGTGTTTCTCTAAAAGTTCCGCTGAATTTTGTGGATGAGTGTGCAGCTTTGCAAAAACATACACCTTTTTTTTATTCTCCATGAACTTTTGCTACTACATACATATTTTTTGCACTAACTTGCTTATTGTGCTGCCCGTCCAACTCAGCTGTGGACATTTGCAAAATAGCCATACATACATACAGACATGTGTACACATTTGCATAGTGCAATTTACTATGAATAGTAAGTATGTTAGCACGGATAAAATAAATCCGAGTAAATATTTAACTGAGATGCACATAATACCCTACACTTTTTAAAAAGGCTGAATAAAATCTAAAACAAACAAACACATTTTAAAGCTATGTGTGATATAATGCTTTAAGTTTGTGCGTTGCAAAAAAAAGGTATTACAAAAAAACCATCGACGTTTAAACTGATAAAGTTGTAGATAGGCTGTTAGGTGTCAGTCGCAATATACAATGCGAAAATCGCGCAATTCATTAAGGGATTGACTTCCTCTGGGGTACAGTGTGAAAAGGTGTGCTGCTTTACTTTTAAAACTGAAAAACTGAATTGTGTTACAATTGAACACTTATCATATTACTAAAAAAAAAACATTAACGAAGTGCAGCTTTATGCCAGTAAATTATTTTTTTTTATAAACAAAGGATACAAATAACAAATTTAGTTAACTTTAAGTGACCTATTTTGAAAAGGAATAAAAATAACAAGCGCAACTGAACTGATCCACTATAATACATACTTATTTATGTACATACATATGTATGCATATAAAATAGCCATTCGCGGTGTGACTGTGACAGCTGTCCTGCAGACAAGAGGTTGTTCACACAGTGCCGCCATTTAATTATTTAATAACAGACAAATTATGGCTACCGCTGTTATTATTTCTGTTTAGTACCTTATCTAAGTGTTTTTAAAGCATGCTAGTGAAAGTGAAATATGTGATAAGAAAAGTTAACGAAATACTTTATCAAAAAGATAGTGTGTGTTGAACACTTGGCCGAAATTGTGCTGCCACACCACGCATCCCGCGATTCCCGATTTTATTAAAAACGAAATATACATACATACACTCAGCAGCAGAAGTATGGGTACAGTGATATAATATATATATTTTTTAAATATAACAATGTTTTGCATGTTAAATGTTTTCCTTAATTTTTTTTTTAAACATGGCTGATAGTATGACAAGAAACATATACATACATACATACATATGTATGTAAATCAAATTTCCAAACTTTGACCAAAATTAAGTAAAATTATACAAGTTTTTAATATATATGTATATGTACATCGTCAAATTTCGAGTTTGCTAATTAAATTTTAGTATAATAATAAAGCGTATGTTAGAATCGGCTAAGAATTCACGTTAATTTTTAATAAATATAATTTATTTTTTAACTGTGGTTAAAAACTTTGAAATTTTAGTGTTGAGTATTTTTCAAAATTTGTAGAATTTTCCTAAATTTTTAAATTTATACGGCATATTAAAAAAAAACAAGTAATTTTTAAGCAAACAGCTCAACCGACTTCAATTCTCATATACAAATGTAGGATTACTGTTAATTTGTTAAAGAACCACCTCGGAGACATACCTTTCCGATAGAAAAAGAATTATCGAAATCGGTTTGACGTGGTCCAAAGTTATGCGGTAACATATGCACATAAAAAAATATTCCGACGAATTTATAACTTTACTTTTCTTTTTTTTGAAGTCGGTTAATAATGAAAAATAATAAAATAAAACATTGTAAATATTAAAAAAAAACTACCACTGTACGCACACTTGTGCCGCTTAGTGTATGTATGTGTAATTATCTACAAACGTCGTTTGGCTCATATAATCTGTAATTCCTAAAACTAATCGCTCTGTGATAAGTAGTAATCGTTATCTTCGTTGTTGACTCATTATCGGATATGAGCGTAACCGAGTACAAATTCTGATTATGTTTTATTATTTTAAACTCATTCAATGCAGTGCTTCATTTATGTATTTGATTTTAAATTTTACGCACATTTAATAACTATAACTTGGCAGGCAAACAGTTTCACTGGGTCTCATTTTGAATTTTTTCACCCTTCCGCAGAACTCTCTTTAAGCGCGTTAATTGTAAGAATGAGCGGACTGCCATGAAGTATGTATGTCAGGAGCGCTATCAGAAGCGTATATATGTATCTATTCTGCTGTCATTTGTTTAGTAAAAGAAAAATTATAAATATACCTTTCCATACATACATATGTATTTCGCTGGTTCATATACTTACATACATACATATTTGCATAGAACGCTATGCGTCATATATTTCTCTCCGGCTATGAATATGCGTGTAGTAAAATGGGGTTATTCACATGGGAAAGCACACCGAGTACGCTTTGTCATTTAATAATAACAGATTGTCGCCTACATAAAGTATGCTCGAACATTTTGTTTATATGGAAGAAAGTGCACAACACCGTCAATAAAAAAATGATCAAAAATCAACGGGATTTTGCAGAAATTTCAAATCTGTATATTATTGTATAAAATTTAATAGGCTACAAAACTGCATAGCCAATAAGTTTCTAGAAATTCTGAATTAAAAGTTGAAAATTGCCAATGACATTTTTTGAATTTTCCTGAATTGTGCCCAAGTCTTAAACTTTGTTTTATATGGTTTATGTTATAGTATCTATGTAGTATATTTTTATTAACAATTTACGAAAAAAATGTATCACGTAAAACATTGTGAATATTGTAAAACATAAATGTGTGCTATTTACGTGGGCGCCTCATTATGTATGAATTTATAATTGAATACGACAACACGAAGAACGAAAAAATCGTGTCAAAATGCCTTTATGATAAATTGTGGGGAAAATATTTTAACGATGAAAATATTCTAGCTCAACATGTAGGGTCATTTTCTCATGCATTTTCTCATGAACACATACCTATTTGCCAAAATTGAGTGTTTCATCGAGGAAAGAATACCTTTGAAACCCTTTATTATCATTCAGCTCAGTGTACTCCATTTTTCTTCCTTCTTAACATTCAGCTTAGCTTACACTTTTTTCAGTGTGTATATTTCTTTTGCATATTTATTCATATCGTGAATGACCCTATGCTTTTTTGCGCATGTCAAAGAATATTGTGCACTTCACTCATTCTGACCAAATTGAGCATTTGAGCAAAAAGTTGCACATTTCGAAAAGCGTGTCGATAGCGCTTTGAGTAGAATTTTTGTCATAAATTTTATAGCATTTTTATGGGTTTCATAAACTGATAATTTATTTTTCTGATTTGATTATATATGATTCTTGCATGGATTTTTTATTATTATTTTTATTTAAAAATGCATCTTTAAATTACTTCGATATTTAGCAATTTTGGTTGGGTTTAGATTTCTTTGATTTGTAAATAAACATCTTCACACATTTGTGTATAATATCTTCAATCAATTAATTCCACGGCGTTCTGAAGAATTGGGCATCGCCCAGAACACACTATGGTGAATTTGCGTAAGGATCTCGGTCTATGTACAATACATACATAAATATTTTTAAATGATTTTAAATACATGATTAAAAAAAGAAAACGTCGAAACCGAGCAGTCCTCGAAGAATATTCGACAAGAAACCTTAAAAGAGTGAAACTGGCCTTAAAAGTTAACGCAAAAACAAAACCTCCCAGCTCTACGTATTCGGCAAAAAATTGTCAGCTTTATTATTGGAAATATTTGTAGTTGCAGTATTTAGAAAACAAAATGCCAATTTATAAAATATGTAAATCATAGGGAAAGATAGTGGGAATTCACCCCAAACATACTCAAATGCATACAATAAATATGCACGAGAATTTATAGAGACAATTTGTTCTGTAGCAATAAAATTAAGAATTAGTACACTCATATTACGCATGCAGATAACTACGTACATTAGGGTGGTCCACAAAAAAAACCTAAAGTCGGAATATTAAAACTCTCGCCCACTAGGATTGTTCTATATCGGAAAACTATATCCCTGTGTTTTTTATTTTGGAACCAAAAAATTTTTGGATGCCGTTCAAAGCTTTATATGGGAGAAAAACAACTTTTCGTAGAAACGGTATAGAATTTTTGAACATCAATACTTTTCGATCTGAAAACCCTGGTTCTCTTCAAGAGACTTAATATAATGATACCCAATTGTTTATTTAACCATTTTTTATAGCAACTATTTTTTATACGTCCCCCAAAAACCCCAAAAATGCAATGGGGAGAACCATATAAAATCGCTAGTGTTAAATAAACAATTGGGTATTATTATTTGAAGTCTCCAGAAGACAAACAGTGCTTTCTGATAAAAAATATTGATTTTCAAGAATTCTGTACCATTTCTACGAAAATTTTTATTTTTTCCATATAAAATACATGGAAAACTTTGAGCGTTTTGAGCGACATCCAAATTATTATTTTTATTTCAAAATGCAAAACCAAGGGTGTCTATAATTTTTTTGGTATAGAAAAATCCTTATGGATGAGGATATTAAAACTCCAACTTTAGTTTCTTTTTGACCACCCTAATGTACATATTTTTATGCGAAAAAATAAACAAATTAGAGTAAAATTTAAAATCATATCGCACTCTCACGCACTTCGCTTTGCGCCACTTGCATTTCTAGCGCCACCAAAGTAATGTCACTCAACTTATGCGCTTATTGACTGAGCGCTGGCAATGCGCCGGTAATACTTGGAAGCGCTCAAGACGCTCATATGGGGGAAATGCCTCCCTTCGACGCTTTGCGACCGTATGAAAATACCGCACACCCTTGTCATTTTACTCACTACTAGAGTTTAGTTAGTTGAATGGCAGGCGACAACGTGTGTGCTTAACAGATGATTAACTGAATGGCTGGCAAACTTAAAAAAATATATATTTAATAAAACAAAATATGTATACTAAATTATAAAGAAAAACATAAGTTTAAAAAATAAAATATACACCAATTAATTTATATAAAGTAGTGTAATTCATAAAAGCAAACGCAAATTGGGGCAAAACGCAACCGTTCAGACTACTTTGCAACAAATTGAAAAAAATCGATTTTTTGTGCGTAAGCATTCGCATGTGTACACAAGTGAGCGAAATTCGTGGCGGTGGCGCAAGTTAAAAATATACTACATCATAAATTTGCTATTAAAACAAAGTGAATTGCATTTCAACGCAGACAAATTCAAAATATTTGAGGCGGTACACTTAAAAAAAAAAAAATTTAGAAAAAAATCTAAACTTCGAAAGCGCTTGCAATGAATACGAAAAGCGAGTGCGCCATCCGCCCGTTGTTGGCAGTATCCAGCCGGGGGAGCAACAGTGAAAGCGAAAGCAAAAACAACAATTGTAGCAGCAAAGCCGTCAGCAATAGCAGGAAGCCGTTCGATACGCCCACCGCCACTGTGCCGCTGCTGGATCAGCGCTTCTCGCAGCCAGTACAGGGCGTGTTTCCGCAGAAGCGGTGAGTGTTGTGTGCTTTTCATACTAGAGACGTTTTTAATAGCAAACATATTTTTCTTTCCCGGTCGCTGCAGGCAGGATGTGCTGAAATGGTATGGCTGGGGCTACAAAGACTCGCAGTTCTACGCGGATAATGGCGTCATTGGCTTCAAGGGTGACAAGTGCGTATTGAGTATCAAGTAGTCTACATACATACATTTACGTATGCCTGCTTTTAATCTAATTACGTGCGTGTATGTATGTATGTTTGTATGTATATAATGTTCCTGCTGTAGCAGGGAGTTGAAACCAGTATTAGCCAGCGTTTAGTGGCTGCAATTGCCGGCGCGAGTTTGGCGGCAATATTGGACACTTCCTGTGACGTCACTTGGCAAGCTTTGTGTGTAGAATATAGCACTGACAGTGAATCATAGAACGATGTGCTCAAAAGCGCGCTTACTCCTGCTTTATTTTTGCTGAATTCATACATACATATAAACAAACGTCAATTAAATTTAAGGCCGCCACAACACCTAAAGCATCAAAAAACAAAACTAAAAACCCTCTACTTTGCTCCACAGGTACCCGCTGGAAGGTTGCACCCTACCCTACTTCACCGACTGGGTTCACAGTAAATTCAACTTGCGCGTCAGCAACAAAACTGCATACCCAAAAATGCCTACCGAATTCCCGGCACCCACCGTAAATGCGTCCTTCTTGCGTGACCTGGAAGCGACCAAGCTCGCGTGCTCGCGCTCTGGCGAAGATCGGCTGATACGTTGTCACGGCCAGACGCTGCACGATATCTACCTCCTTTGGCACAATGAGTTCAAACGCATACCCGACATTGTCGTCTGGCCGCGCAGCCATGAGGATGTCGTGCAGCTGGTCGCGCTGGCGCATAACCACAATGTCGTTGTTATACCCTACGGCGGCGGAACTTCGGTCTCTGGTTCCATAACTTGCCCGCAGTCGGAGACACGCATGATCTGCGCGTTGGATACTTCGCAAATGAATCGGATGCTGTGGCTGAATAAAGCTAACTTGACTGTATGCTTTGAGGCGGGTATTGTGGGGCAAGACTTGGAGCGCGAACTGCGCAAAATCGGCTTGACTGTCGGCCATGAACCGGACAGTTATGAGTTCTCGACGCTTGGCGGCTGGGTGGCTACGCGCGCTTCGGGTATGAAGAAGAACGTCTATGGGAATATAGAGGAATTGGTGGTGCGCATGCGCATGGTTACCGCTACTGGCGGTGTGCTGGAGCGCGAATGTATGGCACCGCGCGTATCGTGCGGCCCAGACTTCAACCACATCGTTATGGGCTCTGAGGGCACACTTGGTGTAGTCACCGAGGTGGTGCTGAAGGTGCGGCCACTGCCACCGGTTAAGCGCTACGGATCGCTGGCCTTTCCCGATTTCGATAGCGGCGTGCAATTTATGCGCGAAGTAGCGCGTCGACGTTGTCAACCGGCGTCGGTGCGGTTAATGGACAACGAACAGTTCATTTTGGGACAAACGCTGAAGCCAGTCAAAGGTTGGCTCGCCAATTTTTTCGATGCTTTGAAGAAAGCGTATGTTACGGTGTGGAAGGGACTGGACTTGACGAAGATGTGTGCGGCCACATTGCTGTTTGAGGGCGAAGCGGAGGATGTGCGACGGCAGGAGGCGCTCATTTACGAAATTGCAAAGCAGTTCAAAGGATTTCCGGCAGGTGGTCAGAACGGCGAACGTGGCTACATACTGACTTTTGTTATTGCGTACATAAGGGTGAGTAATGAAAGAAGCAGGAACAATAGCGAAAAGAAAACACAATAGATGTTTACGAATTTGAATGCTACTCATTTGTTTTGTTAACAGGATTTCGCACTAAATCAACAAATTGTTGCCGAATCCTTTGAGACATCTGTGCCCTGGGATCGCTGCAGCGCGCTATGTCGAAATGTGAAGCGGCGTGTGGAAGTTGTGAGTAGCGGGAGTCGGCAGAAAAGTATAGCGAATCGCGTTGTTTTTCGCTCATACTTAATTTCCATCGCCTTTCATTTGAAATTTAAGCTTTCTCTCTTTGCCAGGAATGTCACTCTCGCGGCATTAGGGACTTCCTTATATCCTGTCGCGTCACACAAACGTACGATGTGGGCGCGTGCGTTTACTTCTATTTCGGCTTCAAGCACACTGGCATCGCCGATCCTGTCGCAACATTCGAGGCGATCGAAACGAGTGCTCGCGATGAGATACTCGCATCGGGCGGTTCGCTCTCGCATCATCATGGCGTTGGTAAAATACGCAGCAAATGGTATGAAAAAACCGTGTCAAGTACGGGCAGTGCGCTATATTTGGCGGCAAAAAGGCAGTTGGATCCCAAGAATATTTTCGCTGCGGGCAATCTGCTAACCGAGCAAAAATGGCAAGAGGAAAGCCAAAGGAGTGGCGAAGCAGTGGCGCCACAAGATACCACCGTTGCGCCGAATTCATTGGTCAAGGCGAAACTTTAATGCATTAGTTTGAAATTGGCTTAAGCGAATGTAGCGGAATTGATTGAAAGTGTGTCCTTTTTTACTTTTGTAATAGCGCAAGGTTATGTTTGTTGTTATGTAACAAGAACTTAATTTTTTTACTTGGAATTTTTTTTTTATCACTTGCCATATTTTCTGTACACAATAGTATTACGAGCGGTTTAGTATAGATACATATGTATGTATAACTTAGAAGTTATTTGTTCTGTTAATATTGGATAAGAATTAAATTGTTTAACAAAAAATATTTCGTTATTATAATGATCCAAACCATTATGTAGGTTTTTGCTTTTTGTAAGGTTTGAATCTTTTTTGAAATTTTATATGTATTGAAAACAATAAAGAAAAAAATTAAACCTTAGCCAGAGTACTTTCTAAACCGTTAAAAAAACATAAAAGATTTATGACGAATAAAACTTCCGTTATTCACGCACCACGGTTTCCATAAAGCACTTATGGAAATACTACCACCACAGGACTGAAATAAACATTAGACTGGTTAAAAAAAATTGACTATATTTTCGAAATCCCTTTTATTTTATATTCTCGGGACAGTGAAAAAATTACCTGCCAAAAGCACAGCCCTTAATTTTACGATTTAGAGGTCGTTATCGCGAATTCCTATTTCCCATATGAATCGAGGACAACATTTTTTTCAACTCTGAAATTTTACAACTCGTTTCTAAGTCAACGTATCGTAATTTGGAGTTGTAGGAAATTGAAGGCTGTAAAACAATTTCTTAAGGCAGTGTCACATGATTGGTACACCTGTACAGATTTGTACATATTTTATATTGGGTTATTGGTACAAACTAAAAAAATTGGAACGATTTTTTTTTTGTAGTCAGACGGTTGGTACAATACAGCCAACTTCTATTGAAAAGTTTCAACAAATTGATTTTCGTGGTTGGTATATGGAAAAATATTTGTGCATGCACATGATTGGGATACAATTGCACCAAATTTTGGGCAAATTCCCAATCGTGTGACACCGCCTTTATGATTTCTCCATAAATTCACTCCTCCAAAAGATATTCAAAATTAGGTTCGAACATACATATGTATGTTTGTTTAAAAATTTTACGTTTATAAAATGTTTGGCAACATATTAAAACTTATCACTAAATATCATGATAAAAACATTAGACGGTAAAACCATTCTCTCAATTCGTCGGCCATGATTTTTTTCTTACGTTTGCAAACATTTTAAAATCATATAAAATTGAAAATAAAAAAATGAAATTGTTCACAATTGTTGTTGTTTGAGATTAAACATGAGAATGTGTGTGTGAGCCTGAGCACGAATTTTAAAATTATATTGTTGGCAAACGTCAGACTGCCTCTCAATGATTTTACCTTGTAATGTTTTTATCATGCTAAATATCATAGATTTTTTTGAACATTTTTTAACCACTTCTGAAACCCAAAGCTTAATCAAGTGTGTTTCACAATTATACGCCCCACATATTGACATGTTTTGACTTAGTTTTTTTATTATTTAATTTTAGTTATTTTTTTTTTTATAAAAACCTGTTTATTTTTTAATAGAAAACGTATAAATCGAAGCTCCAAAATTTGTGCAATATTAAAAAAAATCGAAAAACTTTCGTAAAAAACTTGTCGAAACTCGGCGCTATGTACGCCCATAGTCTACTTCGTGGAGCAAGCAAAAAGACCGCCACGATGCCTTTATCTATTTGTAAGCCAATCTATTTCAATGTCAACAGAAATGCTGTGATACGCGCCTACAGATGCCCGTTTTTTATCTCAGGCTTGCCAGAGATTTATATTGAGTTTTGCGCACAAGGGCTGTGCCAATTCAGTCGTCAGGGACTAGTACTTAGAACGAAGTAGACGAAATAGGTCGTAGAAATCATGCCAGTAAATATCTGATAGATATTGAGTCGCTCCTAGGCTTATCGGGAGTCATCCCAGTATTCCACCGGACCAGACGGGTTATATTCAAGCTCGAAACGATAAAATCCATGCGCATGTCAGAACGACTGTAGCGGGTTTTGAGCCACACTATTCCATAAGTAGATGAACTCCTTAGCTAACAACAACAATTTGGGTCATTCGTAACCAAACAGAGGCTGCCAGAGGGCCCCACAAACCATTCGACATTGAGCACAAGTCAAGCTTCAAAGCAACTGAAAACACGAGTGAATAACTTGGCAAACTACAAACGACTGACTACATTTGTGGTTGGAAAGTTTCTTATTTGTACATATGTACTTATTTATGTGTATATGCACGTGAGTCTAAAAGCCACATAGCGCCCGCACAAACCAGCCACCAACGCCACTGTCAATGCAACCGCCACCGCCACCGCAGCAACTAAACGTCACATCAATCAGCGTTGATCAGTTGAAAGAATTTATTGCTAAGTATTTTTTATCGTTGACATATTTATGCATAAAGTGGTTAGTGCAAACTCATATGCACATTAGGGTGGTAAAAAGAAAAGTGAAAACTAGTTAAAATTTGAATGCTCTCTCCTACTAGGATTGATCTATATCGAAGAAATTTAACCCTGTTTTCTTTTTATTTCGAAATCAAAAAAATATTTGGAGGTCGCAAAAGAAGCTAGTACATATTTTATAAGGGAAAAACATTTTTTCGTAGAAGTTGTATAGAATTCTTAAAAAGCAATATTTGTCGATCGGAAAATTCTGTTTCGGGAATTCCAATAATGATACCCAATTGTTTATATGTATATCGATTTTTAATATTAAATATATGTATGTACATATAAGAAAAATACACGGACAACTTTGGGCGCTTTGAGCAACCACTAAATATATTTTGATTTCAAAATATTTATATTTTATTTCGACTTTGCTGTCTTTCGGCCACCCTTATGTACATATGTACATGCAACTTTTGTGGATTGTGTATGTATCTGCTCTGATTTTTGTTGCTAGCGCGCAAGTTATTTCAAATTCATAGAAATCTACATACTACGTGGCAGAAACTTGCAGCTGCAACATTGTTGTAACGCGTTAGCGTTCTGCGGTTGCGCAACTGGCGGAAGGTGGCGCAGCACACCAACGAATTCAACAAAGTAGAAACAAAAGTCAAGAATTTAACTGAAATACTTATGCGCGTATATCGACAACATTTTCATGCCTAGCGTTCATATGTCAAGTTGTCAACTTCGTTAGCGCACAACACCGCGTTAACGCTATGCTACGGCGGCGTATAATCTGAAATGTCAATGCAGGAATGAAGCGCTGGAGCATGCGCTTCGCATCATAGATACAACTTCCACTAACTAGGAGTAAGAAATTTATAAATTTAGCTTACCGCTGATACATATGTATTTACATGGCTATGATGCGCGTGCGATAACAGCTCCAGTGCTGTTGTGAGTAGCTGCACGCGAATGTGTCACTGTGTTGCAAATGCAATCGAGAGGTGCATACGAGTCAGAGTCAGAGTCAGCGTCAGCGTTAACGTCAGCATCAGATTGGCGTGTGGATAGGCTAATGAATGAATGTTGTCGACGCCAAGTGTTGTCGGTCGGGTGTTGTTGATGATGATGATTTATTTAATAAAATGTTGCAAATGTGTTGTTGCTGCATTGACATTCATGCGAATGGAGTGATAATGAAATCGGCTTGTTTGACGATTTAAAGTGGCATTAAGATGAAAATGCTTTCAAAATGTGTGTTGCGAAGAGATTGGAACCTTCATACATACACATATAAATAGCAGACAGGAAAAAGAATGAGGCTCTGCAAACATTCTGGCGAATGCGCTGGGCGATGATGTAGCGAGTAAAGGTGGCGCCCGTCTCGGGCCGTTGTTTCGACTTTAGTGAATTTGACTTGTTTACGTTTTTCTTACAACATTTTTTTTCTTCTTGCATTGTTGCTTGCGTTTTGACATTTCTCTCTCGCAACTGCACCAGTGTGACCTCACGCAAAAATTATTCTCAAAAATCCTCTCTGGATTTTATCATTCTTGCATTTAGTCTGATTTGTAGGTTGGTTGCCGGAATTATAATCGGATAAAATTCATTATATAAAGACTTCCGCCAATACATTTCCGAAAAATATTGGCATTTACGTGAGCTAGGCGGATTTGAAAAGAAACTAAAAACTTCAGTTTTAAAAAAAATATATATGTATATATTTTTTTAATCTCGTTTCTTTTCTGTTTTCCCGTGTGAACTTAGTTTAAGCTTGGTAGAAGTCATTTTAGGATGCAGAGAGTTGAAAAAACTGTAAACTGTTTCTTAAAGGAGTTTTTCGGAAAAATACTGCAGGCAACGTAGCCGGAGCTTGAATGATGGGGATTCTTTTTTTGAAACGCGGCACAAGAAAAGCTAAAAATCCGATCTGGCGATAGAAGGGTTTAAGCTTAAAGGACCTGCATAAAATGTTTGAACCATATTTTATAGGTCCTCCAAAATCCCCAGGAAATGCAATGGGGGACCAATAAAAAATCTTTACTATTAAAAAAAATGGCTAAATAAACAATTGGAGATTAATATTGGATATCTCCTGAAGAGACCACAGTTTTTCGATCGAAAAATATTGCTTTTCAAGAATTTCATAATATTTCTACCAAAAGTTGTTTTTCCCCATATAAAATATTTATGTGGAAAACTTTGAGCGCTGTGAGCACTGCCTAATTATTTTTTGATTTCAAAATAAAAAAATAGGGGTCTCTTTTTTTCGATTCAGAATAATCCTAGGGGGTGGCGGCATTAAAATTCCGATTTTATTGTTTTTGGAGCACTCTAATTTACATATATGGGTTGGGAAAACATACCACTAAAGTTTAACCTATCGTAACCAATATTGGGTCCCCGAACACTTCTAATTCATTGCGTATGGAATTCTTGTTTATGAGCATACATATGCGCATTCATTATTCATTTGCTGTGCTGCGTGCAACATGTTGCATTTGTCGCATACAAGGAGTAACACCAAAGAGGAAGTGCAATGAATTTGACAAAGGCTTCAGAATACACAGCAGCGGTATTGTATTGGTTTATTGGGGGCGATAAGCAGAAGAGGTAGAAGAAGCAGTGGTAAAGGCAATATCAGCTTAAGTCTAACGAAGCAGTAACGGTATGTTAACTTGGTTAACGACTTTGGTAAGTAACAGCAGCAACAACGTCGGCCAACAAGACGCTGATACAACCGAAGATACTCAACGAGAGGCTGCTGCCGCATTTCATTTATAAACTTCTGCTGCTACTGCTTGGCAATTATAATGACTACCGAAATGTTAAAAAAAAGATAACACAAAACTATAAGCCATTCAAAAACAAAAATGTGCACAAATAATGGTTAGTTAGTGCAGATAATAATAATAAAGAAACAATTCGCATGTCGCGGCCGAACGCTCAACCATCTCTTGTGCTGTGCATGAATGCGAATGTATTGCCAGATGTGCTTACGTTTATGTATAGAGTAGCGCATTCAATCCTGAAGCATTTTAATAAACCCGGATTTCGGGATGAGAGAAGATTTTATCCCGCGACACCGGTATTTTTCGGTATTT